AAATTAGCCAACAGAAATCTCAAGGGATATTTCATCCATTTATATAAACTTTGAAAGGGAGTGTGCAAAAAAAGATGGYACCAGGAGCTTTTTAGTGGTTGCCAGTGACCAGAACAGAGACAATTAAAATTGAAACACAGGAGATTTTTCTGAACATCAGAWAACATTTACTGTRAGGGAGACCAAGCACTGACATAGKGTGTMCAGGGTGATTGTGGAATCTCCATCCTTGGATATATTTAGAATCCACCTAGGCATGGCCCTGCTCTGTGTGGCCTCACTTGAACTGTGGTGTTAAAACTGTGGTGTTAAAACTGTGGTGTTAAAACTGTGGTGTTAAAACTGTTGTGATCTCCAGAGGTCCCTTCCCACCACAGCTGTTGTTACTCCATGAAAGAGTAAAATTACTTCAAGAACTATGTCTAAGGTGAGAGAATCATTCTAAGATTGGTTGAATATTGACAGGAGGAACCAGATTGCTTTTTAACTTTTCTGATTCAGGTATCTATGGGCAGCCACCTCTGTCCTACACCTTTAGGTTCCTGTTTCTGACCCCCACACCATCTAAATGTCCACTGAAACTGTTTTCCAGTGTTGACTGTTATTTTATCTTTGCAGGAGGGATCAGGTATGTCTGTTGTCAGCACATYCTGCACACAGCACAGAGACAAGACATGCAAAGCATTTACACACTCTCAATAGCAGCACCCATTAAATATCCTTCAGGATCATTACTATGTAATTAGACTCACTATTGCATACAACAGTTTGATTTCTTTCCAGCATCCCTTCATATTTGGGAAAAGTAAATAACTTTACATACTACCAAGTTAATGGTATTATCTGACCAAATGATTTGAAATGCTCATAAATTTGAACTTTGCCAAGTTGCTATCTTGACAAGGCAGTAGTTACAGTATTGTCTGCTGTACCATATTGCATTAATATGATTAAGGCTAAATCCTCCTTGCTTTAACCTCACAAGTAATCCCATTGACATCAGTTTGTTCCTAAGTCTTCTTAGTATGACAGGGAGTTGTAGCACTTTGAAGAATCACCTTCAGGGATCACAAGACACATAATAGGCACTCTCTGCAGGTAACTTACTCTATTAAAGAACACAGCAAACAGAACTGCGGTTTGACATTCAAGTCTGGTGATTTTTGTCTTTGAGGCCTCAGACATTCTGTATGAAGTTGTGAATTTTTTCACTTAGACCATGGAGACTTCAATGACCTTCTCAAACTGGTGAACACTGTAGCAAATAGGAGAAGATAAACTTCAACAAAAAAATCAACTTTAATTGTTGCTTACTCTTCCTGTCTATGCCTACAGTGAATACTGTGGCTAGCGCAACTTCTTTCTACCCCAAGAGTTGCTGGATTTTGGATTTTCCTGCATATTTTTTTTCRTAAATCCTTTTAAAGACTTGCAGCATAACCATTCTATAAAACTGAGGAAAGTTTATTTCTTAAAAAAAATTCTTTAACTTACAAAAAGTATCAGCAGAATGTGAGAGTTTAGAAGAACTAAAATGAAGTTACTGTTTTCTCTAGAGAGTTGTTGAGATATTTCCCATAGAACAGTGTTTCAAAGTCACTTTCTTGTTCTTAACTAGCAACAATTTGAAGGGATTATGTTTTTGTGGGGGAAGGGGGAGGGGCAAAACCTGAACTTTTTTACTCCTTATCTATCTCTGTTAATTACAGATAGAAAGGAGAAGAAGAGGATTTCCTTCTTCCAAAGTCAAAGCATRTTTCCACAGTGGCATCCTCATAAAAACCCAGCAGGAAATAAGTGTTCCCAAATCTGAACTTTATTGTACTGAAAGCATGTAAAAAATTTATTTGTCAATTTTTTCTGGCCCTATTTTCCATCTTTTTTCTATTTCACTCTGGTTTTCAGAGTTAGTTAAGGTATTTTAGTTGTTAAGATAGATCTTTTGCTCTTTGTCTGAATGTATTAAGAAAAGTAGAAGAGAGGTATGTTTTACATGATAAAAAAACATAAGCTTTAGAGCCAATGGAAAAGATTGTTCAGACTTTTTTCTATGTTCTGAGTTTTACGGCTTGAAGGAAGGTGGTACTCGACAGAAAAGTGTTTATGAAGGCAAATGTAAACATTTAAATTTTTTAAGGGACAGAAGGCTCAGAAGGGGTCTCTGTGGCAATAAATCCCACTGTATTCTGGGGGAGGTTTGRTTCCAAATTTTCATTAGTGTCTACAGAAATTCCAACTATAACTATGTGATTTTGCCATTGGAATGAAAAATGAATTATGCAAGAAGAGCACCCCAGAAYAGAGGGAGCTGATCCAGACTACAGTCCTGGAGAGGATGAAAGAGTAGTTTGCTGAGACTGTTGCATCCAAGGTTGGAAAGAGATGCAGTGTTCATTCCTTGAATGCCCCTGTGTGCCAGTTACTGAAGGTGGGAAGAAGGCTGGTCACCTTGGAACACAGGCAAGAATCCCTGCTGCACTAACTCTTAGAAAAGTCTATCTTTGTGTCAAGGCCAATTCTGCTAACAACTAAACCAAACCAAGTTTTTCATTAATGTAAGCTACTATTGTAGATATAATGTTGCTGGAAGTACAGCTCAGCTTTTCCTATAAGGTTCAAATAGTGGGTTGTTTCCAATAGCACTTGAAGCACCTTCTTTCCACATTCCTTCTCCTTCTTGCTTGTATATAGTCTGTATTTAGTGATTTCAGAAGACACAGTCTAAAAGCACCTTGCCATAAAGAATATGCTCTCAGAGGTTTTCAGGGATTCCCGGTATTTCTCGGGCTGCTGTCCTACCTGCTAAATAAGTAGGACAGTAAAGTTAGTATTAACAAAACACTCCTAAGGCAACTCCCCCTARTCACCTCCTAATTTCTAAATAAGCATGCATTTTGTTGCCTCTCTTCATGCATGGATTCATGCACAGTCCTGTGTTCTGATGAAGATGAGCACACTGGCACTGTCTTCAGGCCACATTGGTGATGCCATGTGTGGGAGTTACTCATGTGGAACAGTGGTTTATGTAATCTCCCCATCCCTGCCCRCAGGCTGGGAAAAGAAGGCAGCCATAAGATTTATGAATGCTATGGTTTATCTATGTTTTTGCTGTCACTTTAAGTGACTGCATTTTCTTAATGTGATACTGGCCTTAACAGCTGAACAAGCAGCAAGAAATAGCATGGGAAGCTCTTACTTATGTTCACTTSTGCTATAAAAACACCTTCTCTTTTGATTACTTTGATATTATGTCAAATCCACGTCCCACTTTTTGACCAATTTAACTTGAATGGTCCATTAGACTATTAGAATTGTCTTTCTTCATTTTTGTTTTTTGTAATTTCACAAACACTGTAACAGATCAGTGTGATGTTTAGGGAAGGGTTATTATATCTCTGTTCAGTCACTTATTATTTTCACATGACTGTAGTATCTCCAAAGATACCTACTTTTAATTAATTTTCAGCTCTTATACCTCTTTTTAGGTGCTCTAATTGTGAGCAGAATTGAGCTTGMAGGTCCACCTGCAGTATTGCTCTAACTTTCTCAATTCTCACTACCAATTCTTCTTTCTATTTTTGCTGGTCTGCTCTTCAACTAGTTGAAGAGCTTAATAATTTTTTTCCTATTCAAATGGATTTTCTGTTTCAAGGAATCTCAAGTACTGTTGTGGTTTTTATATGCTTTAGAAATTGCATGTCTGAGTGAACTCTGAAATGTAATCAGAAGTCAGTCAGAGGAATGTGATGGACACGGTTCTTTTGACTCAGTACTGTCTCAGAGAAAATTTGTTCTCAGTAGAAAGTTCTTTAGAGTCCTTTCTTTTGAGTTTTCTGAAAACAAACAAAATATTAAGGAGAAATTTTCTTCTACTTAACGTTCTGAAACACTCATGTATTAATTTCTTTCTGGTGCCAAAGGTGAATYGTTTAAACAATGATTGATGTCTCTGTTCCTTTTCTTCCCTTTCTTTTCAGAATTCTGATGGATCCACTGTAGCATCCTTTAAAATCAGGTTATGACTTTTGTCAAGGCTCACAACACTCRAAATATTGATGAGAGTATTGATATTGTACTAACATGTGTCTTTGTGTTAAAATCTCAGTTAAAAGTACAGCCATAATAATAGCAAAATTCAATGAATACGAATAACTTTCACAGATACATGTATGAGACTGACCATAGTTTTGGCAGCTGAATAAGAGTTACAGACAGAAGCAATGACAGAATTACTTTTGAGAGCATAGAAAAATTATCTAGCAGAGAAATATACCGCATTAAAGCCGGTGGGATCTGAGTAATTAAATCTTGATTTCTTGAATTATTAAAAGTAGTTTGTATGGGGTAGCAGTAAGTTCAATACAGCTTGTGATCAGGCAGGATGAGTAAGTGCTGCTAACATATAATTATTCTAGAGCTTAAAGCAGATGCTGTGTTTTCCATTGAATCTGAAAGTAAGAACAAATACATCTAAATACATCTAGTGCTTCTTACAGGATGGTACCCCAACTGTAACTGATAGCATTTCCTTATGGAGAGCACAAGAACTTCATATGCATAAAAATAATGCTTCTGCAATGTATTCTGATCCTCACTTGGTTCAACATCAGTTGTCAGTCAAAAGTTTCAGGAATTCCTTTGTCCAGAGCTCCCTGAAATTTATCTTTGTAATGTTGCCTCAAGACACCATTTCATAGTCTAGTTCAAATACAAGTTTTTTAACAAGTGGCATTTATCTGTATGCGATAGAAGAACATGACACACAATGGAGACATCTCGTCACTAAGGGGTAGAACCAATTTTCATGAGATCTGGTTCTGCTGTGGACTTCTCAGGTGAAGACTACAAAATTCAGCCCTTCTGTGCCTTTTATCCTTAATAACCATTCTTAACAATGTGATTTTCATTGGAGGCTATAATATTATGTCATAGAAACAAAAAGTAGCTGAAAATCCAGTCAGGATACAGTACTAGATTTTCTCCTCTCTCTTCCCCTCTAGGTGTATAGAGTGTGGGATATACAGACCCTTTCACCATTGCAGGTCTTCCAYGAAGGTCAAGGGAGTCGWGAAGAGATGGATACCTTTCCCATGGTATTTGACAATGATAATGGCATGCTTTTCATGGGTAGGTTATTGCAGGTACATATTGGTGTATGAGAGCATGCCCTTTCCCCTAGAATCCAACTTCCTTTATGATTACACATAACTAAAGTTGAGTACAGGAACAAGGTATATGAGAATATACAGAATATTGGGAGACAAGGGTATTTGCACATTAAAACTGTTTTAAAGTGGGTTATATATGGTGGTAATTTCAATATTGAAAATGGCATAAAATTACAGAGCATGGAAATTAACAGCAGGAGCCAAAGGAAATGAGAAAGGTTTCTCTGAAGGCAAGGTGAGCCCCTCACTGCAAAATTAAACTACAGACATTGTTCTAGAATTTCCATCTCTTGAAAACTACTAAGATACTGATCTCCCTGTAACTCTTCCTCTAGCAGCTGCCTCCTGTTTGGAGATGAAAACAGCAGCATAAAATCTCTGTGGARTCCTCACAAGTATATTCAAACTTGGTAGCTACAGACAGCCATACAATGTGAGCTGTCAACAGACACACTGCCCAACTGATTAGGAATAAAATATTATGGGAACCCAGTCTGGGGTTTCTGGGCTTTGTTTCCTGACTCTGTAGCAGGGAGACTGGAACCTTTGAGAGAACAGAGCTTTTGCAGTTGTCACTAAGGAAGTTAGCCTTCTGTATCCAAGGCACAGACTCTTAAAACCAGCACGGTTTGTCTGCCCCAGAGCTGTACTCACAAAAAAAGGACAGCTTTGAACTTGTTCAGGGGCTGTAGAGGACTGAGATGCACCAGGCAAATAAGGTAATTTTCTTTGAAGACAGCTTTTTCTTCCCTTTCATCAGGAACAAGGCACAAAGTTTGCTAAGTTTGTCAGATCTGAGAYGATGAATGTGAAATATTTTGTATTCGGTGACCTGTGGTTTCTACTTTTCTTTTAATCTTTAAACGGTACAGACACTGTCTTCACTTCAAATTTGTGCTAGTGAGATTTTCAAAGATTAGCAATTGAGGGAATTTATATAGGTCAATCATTGACAAAATGAGGTAACTTTGCCCTTATAAACAATGGTTCTGTAAGTACCTAAATATTTGTAAGATCTGACCCTGGACTCTGTTAATGATTCCATTAAAACCCTAAATTAATATCTCCTTGCACCTGAAGAGGGCAAGAGATTGAGGCYATATGTGAGCAAATTAATTCTCACTGCTTTGTACCAAGCTTTACAGAGTTTTTGACTTGATAATTCACTAACATTAATAAATCACAGCTCACCTTCATGCTTCATTTGAATATTGCCATAGCTTTCCTTCTGTGCCTATTTCCAAGCTGCTTGCCTCTGTGCCTGGACTTATGCCAAGGATTAGGCAATTTCCTCCTTTGCTGTGTACTCGCTGCTGCTCCTCTGCTGGTAGATCGGCATTGGTGCTGGGGCAGGGATACTGGAGCTGCAATGGGTGACTGCATGTGCACTCTGGCTTGAGAGCCYTGTACAGACCTTGTCCTTTCTTTTGTCTTATCATCCCGGTCTGCCTCTGCAACATCTTCCATCTGAGAACATTGAAAGGTATTTGGAAAACACCATTCAGACCTGCAGGGCCATATAAAGGAAGGTACTGGAAAGACATCATAATTGCCTGCAGATAGAATTGCTTTATCTCTAGGAAAGCAGATACCAGAATTTATTYGAGTGATACAGCTCCAGTTAATGTRCTTGGGTTCATTCCGTTTCATGCAAACCAACYCTGGGATTGGGACATTTATGGCTTCTAYTAATTTGCAGTCAGGATGTCAATCCCATCAGAGGTGGGCAGGGGATTGTTTAAGACAGGAAAATATTTAGCCATTTTTTGACTGGTGCTTTTTGGGGATTGTGTGTGAATGTTTTCTGCTTCRGAGAACAGGTATTCTCAAAAAACAGACTATTCCCTATCCTTTTCAGAAGAACTCATATGAACCTCACGATTTACATGAAATATTTTTATTTCCAGGGAAAGTAATTATGCACAAAATGTATCTGTACTCACTTCTCTCACCTTGTGCAGGTTCAGATGTCATTGATATTTATCCCCTAGCTAATGTGATGCAAGATTCAAAAGAGTTGCCTCAGACACATGAGAAAAGCCTTAATGTTCTGATTTACAATAAGGCTCTTCAGCAGATTCTCAGCATTTGCACTGAGTCAATACTGAAGGTGAGTGCAAGTTTTCACCCTTTATAATTAAAAATTAGAGTCTCAGCTTTTTTATTCAGAAAAAGATGTTAGTAAATTTGATAAGTTATTAGTGTTTATTATTTGAAGTGTTGCTCTCGTGACTATTTTTGAGAACCAGAGAAGTGGTAGCCATGAGCCCTATTTGGATTCAGAAGATCCAATATTTTTTAATAGTGCAACAACAATCATTGGAGGTACTGAGAACTTGTAGTTTTGACCAGCTCTTGGTACATTAGGTGGTAAAATCTGTTGGGAGAGGTAGTATCTTTTATTGGGTCAGTTGGTGATATGTCGCCTTCCCATGGAAAAAAGGCTTGTTTGTGTAATGGCTTGTGAAAATTTGCTATTGGCAGTAACTCCTGTTAGAGTAGTACACATTTTGTGACTAGTTTTAGAGGATATATAAAAAATAACTATCCTATTATTTTTTTCAGGTCTGGGATATAGAAACAGGATCACAAATATATCAACTAGAAGATGCACATGGGCTGAATACTGAGGTGACCTGTGCAGCCATTGAAATAAATGGGGTTTATCTTGCTACTGGGGCTTGTGATGGTAAAGCAATTAAATAATTACTACCTTTTTTCTTTTTTACCTTCACAACTTTTTATTAACTTTTTTAAAAATTATATAGTACATTAGCAGACAGAACTCTTCACCTTGACTGTATCAGTGACAGAATTTTGATTGTACAGCTGCCAGTCTGTAGAAGGGCAGGTATGTGTCTTGGCTGGGTTCTAGTTAATAGGTGGTTCATAGGAAAGTGATTTTTGGCTGCTTAGGCTCTGGTTATTTTTGGCCTACTACTGTGAAAAACTATCTTCAAAGATCTTGGTCTGAAAAGTTGTTTCTGCGTAAGATTTAGGACCCAGACCTATAACTAAATTTCTGCAGATGAAGAATGGTAGTTTTAAAATTTTCTAGTCTCTGAGCTCAATTTAATAGTGTCTGCATTCATTGAGAGCTAGAAAATAGGTAGATAGGTGGATAGATAGATAGATAGATAGATAGATAGATAGATAGATAGATAGATAGATAGATAGATAGATAGATAGATAGATGTCTCCTGTATTTTTCATGTCTTTTATAAATAAGAGTGCTTGAGTTTTAGGTAGTGTGACAATCTCTCCAACACAAAAGTGCATATTGAATTGTGCAGGAAGCTGTAATAACATTTTAATTTTTAACATGAAAGAAAAATTCTTCTTACATTAAATGTTCAAAAGTACACAACTGAATTATGAAAATATTTAAAATATGTGAAAGTTGCCTCATATAAAGAGGAGATGCTGGCCTATTCCACACAGCATATTGGCTAATGTTGCTTGTTTCTACTTGGGACTGAGACTGCATCCCTTATGGATCTTAAGAGTACAACAGAAGGTGAATGTTGCCAAATCTTAAAAAAGAAAAGTAACATGTAACTAATTGCTTTACTTAAGAAAATGCCATAATTCCTCCCCATTAGCTCTCTGGGATAAAGCCAGCAATCGGCTCTCTCTGCTCATTGCTGTACATAAGAACCCAAAGTCTTCTTCCAGATAGCCCACACTTTGATTGCTCTTTGGTGATGTTATTCAGAAATTGTAAGAAGTAAGATAAGCGGGGGTCTTTTATCCTGAGCTGCACCAAACAATAGACATGGGAAAAAAGATGGAAAAATTGAGAGGGTAGTGATGTTTTCTGGTAAGTTTTTTGTCCCTACAGCTGCTTTGCCAAGAAACATCCACACTATTACAATTTTTGAAAGACCGGTGACCTAGTTCTTGACCTCAAATCAGATTTTTTTTTCTTTTTCTTTTTCCTGCTTGATCCTATTTAAGCCTCTGAATTTGCAGTACAGGTTATTGCTAAAAGTTCATTCCCTTTTCTACATTTTTGTTATCCTTGTGTAGGAACAGTGAAAATTTGGGAATTTGAAAGTGGAGAAGAAGTTAAAGCCTTGCCTTTAGTGCAAGACAGTGAAGATGAGCATCGTCTGCTGAAGATAATGTATCTGAAGGCTGATGAGGGTCAACATGCAGTTTGTGTTTTGGAGCAGAGAGGAAAGATGAAAATCATTCAGGTTTTTCAAACATTCTTCCCTTCCCCCCCCCCCCCCCCCCCCCCCAATTTCATTTGGTAGCCCCTCATTTTTTGAGGCCAAATAGGACTTTTTTTATTAATTAGTAAATAAACTTCTGGAAACTGTCAAGAAAAAAAATCTACCATTTCAATGTAATCAAATTTCTGCCTTTCTTTCTAATGTTMAAATGTTTATTAGTCCATTGCTGGTTTTCAGCGTTCTCATAAYTTTTTCCTTCCATTCGTTTTTGTGTTTGTGACTGAGGTTTCAGTAGTTACACATCCTTTAAGGTAATGGCTTTAAAGTATTTGTTTTTACTAAAGATGGTATTTGGTCTATTTAAAGAGCTCCTAAAGATAATATTTTGGTGAAAAGATTATTTTATTTTATTTTTGTTTAAAATTAATAGATTAAGACAGTAGAGTCTTAGGAMCTGATAAAAAGAAACAAAGTAATAATAAATCTGATTGGCTTGCTTGGCTTGATTGTGAGCATCTACACTGTGTTCCCTTCAGCTAAAACTAACAGATGCATTTGCAGCTTACAATAATTATGGCCTAATTTCTCAGACAAACCATGTTTCTGTGGAATTTTCTTCCTCAAATTGGAATGTTTAACTTGGGACAAAATTATTTTGAAACTTTAAAGAAGCTATGTGCAAGGGAGAAAATGTAGTTTTAGACAGATTATATATCTGAGAGAAAAAAACAAATATTCAGGCTCTTATCTCAGTAAATAATTTATTCTTTTCAGCCTCCTGCTAATGAAAGCTGCTTTATACAGGGTTTTCTTTTTTTGTTCAGACTTTTTTGAAATACTACATCACACCATTTGCTCTACAGCATTATTACTGAAATTGTTAAACAATCCATTAACTGTAAATTATGTAAATGTATCCCTGTGACAAATAAGTTGGTAAGGAGTTGAATGTCCTCCAAGTCTTTTTGAAGCTAACCACACTGTTTCACATACTCAGATTTCTCAATTTTTAGTCCTTCTCTAAAGGTATTTCTTGTTTGATAAAGTCAGTAGCATAAGAATTACTAGAATCTTAATTATTGCTTCATTCTGCAGCTCAAGACATATATGAAAACAGTAGCAAACCTAAGGAACTGATTTCAGTAACACTTCTCAAAACGGACAGAAATATCAATGTTAGAGCAGGAAATACATACTGAAGTGAATTAGTTATAGCTGGAAAAACATCAAAGCAACTCCCACTTGCCTCTAGGCATGATGGGAAAGAATCAGTGATTCAGGTCTATAGCTGAGTGTGGCTTCTCACACAAAGGGAACAAGCATTTTGCTGGATGTTTTGGTAGATATSAAATGGAGAATAACAGTGTTAATGAAATAAGCAGCTATAACTAAAGAGACAATTTACTTTAAGGAGGCAAACTGAATTAAATCAATGTCTCTGGAGGGAGCTTCAGTTTGCAGTTTAGGCTTGTGCTGGTTAATATCTGTAACAGTTTGTGTAATTTGTCACAGAAAACTAGCTTTTGATACACACTTGTTACAATTCTTTATGAATAGAGAAATCCTTTCCTTCCTCTTCATTAAGTCACTTATTTTAATAGGGTGACTCAGATCAAACAGATCTATATGTCACTTGGGTGCTTCCTGAGGAAGTGCCATTTCCACGAAGGAATCCAGTTGTGTATCTGTCACTAAAGCCTGGCACCTTAAAAATACAAGATTTTTTTCCGGAGATTCGGCTTCTGTGTAACACCACTGCTTTGAGAAATGATGAAGAGGTGAGAAACACTTCAAAGTTTCACATCATTTACAGAAGACTGGAAAGTAAAATGTCTGTTGTACCCTCAAGGACTCAATGTTTTAGCAACAGGACAAGAACCAAATAATTATTCCCCACTGTGCTCCCTTGCAACCTTACACATTCTATGTTTCTGTGATTCTAAACTTTTCAGTATACTGAAATAAATGCATAAAATAAATCATGTAAGGAAGTGACTGTTTCTCAGGGCTATATCTTCCTAAAATTCCATTGCATGCTTATCAATGTAATTAAGGAGTTATTCTGAACATACACTTCACATTCCTGTACAATACTGTAAGCTGAGGTTCTCATATAAACCCTTCTAGAAATGTCTTTCTCACTATCGCTAGGCTGACCTTTAGTAATAGTGTCATGTAAAGATCAAGCTGAGTATCAGAGTGATTCCATTTTCTCTTCTTATTGCTTTGGTAAAATAAAATGTCAAATTTATGTTTCAATTTATGATTCAATTTAACTTGAATAGTCCACAAGACTTAAGTCCTGTCTTACGAAATTTCACTAAGTTTGTAACAGATATGGATGACGCTTGTGAAAAGGTCATTATATCTCTGTTCAGTGACTTCTTCCTTTAACTTGATTAAAGTATCTCCACAGACCTACTTTTGATTAATCTTCATCCCTGACACCTGTTTTGACATACTCAAACTGCAGCTGTGCTGTAAACAGCAGGTGAGGTTGGAGGCCCCTGTCTGCTGCAGCAGGGAGTCCCAATACCATCACTACCTGCTTCCTTCTGGAGCTTCTATGTAGCTCAAATACAATAGTATTACAATAGCATCCAATAGGCAGTTGTTGTAGACACTGTCAATTTAGGCATTTTGTTAGGTTAGTAGKTAAAACATTTCACTGTCCAGTATCCTATTTTTACTCTGGCTCAAATTTTTCTTTTAATCCTCTTTGCAGACTTTTATATCGTCTGTGGATATTAAGTGTTTCGATATTTTAAAAGTAGAAGGATGCAGATTGATAGCTACAGGAAGTGCAAACGGTGAAATAAATTTGTGGGATTTTGAATCTGCCTCTGTGAATTGTCTGTAAGTATTGCTTTCATGCCTTTTGATCATCATTTAGTCTATCACACAAACTTCAAAGAGCATTCTGGAAATTCCAATATGCTCAAATATAAAAGGTGATTTACAAGCAGGAATTAAAATAGCAATTTATGTAGACCCTCATCCCTCCCACTTCAAATTACTTTGCTGGCTAGTCCTGACCATTGCAGGTAGGAGAAGTGATCAAGACAGTCATTTGGGGAAGGGATGATGTAATTAAAAATAGTGTTTTAACGCAACTCAGCACTGCCCCTGAAGGAAACTCTCACTATATAAATCACTCTAGTTATTGACTAGAAGTTGCTACGGAGGTGTAGAAACATTCTTATTTTGGAAGTGTTGTGTTTGAGAGGACATCTGGAAATAATGTTACTTCAGATGATAATGTCTGATGTTCTACATTATCAGTATCTCTATCACTGTCCATACCTAGAAGACTAGAAGTTGCATTCAGTGAGGGGGAAAGTGATGTGATTTTGGAGGTTTGAGAGTAAAAATATCTCACACAAAATGACAGAGTGAGCATAGGATGGTTCCAGATATCCTTATGCCCGTTAAGGTGCTCCATCAGTGAGCCAAACAATGGCAATATGTCTGGTTGGACTGAGTGGAGCAGCATGGCAGTACTCCTGTGTTTGTGAAAGAATACATGCCTTTAAAGACCATACAGGGTCAGTATTTAACTATCCTACCCAATAGTTTCACTTCATCTTCCATGCATAAAATTGGCAAGTTTGTGAGAAAGTGAGTTGAGTTTTCTGTACCACAAAAAATAATTAAAACTTAACTGGAGTTCAGACATTGGCTCTTCCCTTGTATTTGCTTCCCCATATTTGAAGCAGCTAATTCATATGGATGCATGGAAGACAGGAAAGTCAACACTTTATAAGGAGWGTATTTTACCTAGGGTTCACATGACTGAATGCCAGGAACAAGGTACTTCAACATAAGATACTTCACTTTCCTGTTAAATTGTAATCCTCACGAAAATATTTGGTTAAATGAAATTTTAATCATTCAATCAAGTACCTGTTTTTCCTGGCACAGGCACTTTCTGCATGACCTCTTCATTGACATTAGTCCATCATAACTGATTCACTGCTTCTGAAAAACTGTCTAAAGCTTTAGGTATCATGGATTCTGGGAAATACAAATTTTAATTTTTTTTTTTTTAGTTACCAGTTAAATCTGAAACATTTTCTGGAACAAGACACAACCTATCTAACATATCCTGTACAAATACCTTTATTTTCAGGCGTAAAACTAATGAAGACAGCCAGGGCTCTGGAGTCAATGCCATATTATTCCTTGTACATCGTGTTTTCTCTTCCAGGTAACTCTGTACATTTTATCTTCCTTGGGGCAGGCACAGTCACTTGGAATTTTGTTGTAGTAGAATGAGGTAATGTTTGTCCAAGATAGCTTCTTTAAATTGAGATTTTATTTGTATTTAATCAATTCAAGTCGATACAGTTAATTAACTTTCCCATCCTTAAACTTTTGCAATGCTTGTCAAACCATACGATATATTTTTTCTTCTGCTCAGCTGTTCTTTTTGCCTCTAAATGACCTCATTAGTCCCAATTCTGTTAAAGAATTCAACAGAAGTTAGCTTTTTCAGGTATCAGTTTTCCAATGTACTATAGCCTCCATGATCTCTGTGAGATAATTGTGTGGCAGCAGGCTTTTTCTTTATTTTAAACCTGATAAAATCCGTATGCTATTAGATACTCTCACCAAAGAGGCAAGCACATTGAAGCATGCAGCCACAAGTTTCTTCTTCAAACAAACTAGAAGCTTCCATAGGCTAGTAGTGTTGGATGAAAAAGAGAATTTTAGCCAAATATGCTCATTTTCAGAAAGGCATTGTACCTGTAYATCACTTCACAAACACTTGTCTTCCAATGTATACACAAAGGCAACCATAGACAAAATTACTCCGTATGACTTAAATACTTATGCAGTTTGAARTTTTTAGCAATTAGACAGCTTTTTTGCTCTTATGAACCATAAACATGTTTTATGGTCTCATGTTCCTTTAAAATGTTCAACTAGCTTATGCAACCCCCCTAAATGTACGTATCAATGCTACTTAATGGAACATAAATTCTCTTTTCAACATTATAACTTAATGATTAGTTTAAGAAATCCTAGCTAAATAAATAAACAAGRAGTGATAAAAATTCATAAGCAGATTCTTTTTTATAAATCAAGAGAAGTTTTTACTATGCTTAAGCAGGAGGGAGGATCCTATACTGACTGAAAATCATAAAGTCTTGGGATGTTTTATATTTACTGGGAAGATGCCTGGATAAGTTCGACTGTGATCATATACACACAAAAAAAATATTCAAGTAAGTYTGTAAAATCAAACTAGAAACTGCAAAGTTGTGAGCATTTGCCCGAATTTATATGGACTACCCCAGCTGCATACTTTCTAACACTCTTGTGAAAACCAGAGCAGCTGTGACACTGGTGTGAGTTGTGTGGCAAGAACCACTTATTGACACAGCCAGAACTTTTTGTGATTCAGAAACAAAACCATTGAAGATCATGTCCATTTTTTTCCTTATTTTCTTCCACAAAATCTCATTTCTGAGAGTTTTCATAACTGATTGAGAAGAAGTTTCTATAATTAAATGAAAACTCTTTATAGAGCAAAGCACTGTGTAAAACAGTAGGAAATAAGCCACTAGCATGCAGTGAATTTTTCCCTTTCACATCTTCAGGATGAATACCAATGTTAATTTTATTTTATTATGGATTTCATTTGCTTAAAACACCTGACAGAAGAGGCTGGCTGTGTCATATGCAAATATTGCCTAGTTATTTAAAAAATATACAAAACCAACAACTCTTAGTCTAATCAGTCTAATCAATTCAGGTACTATTTTATGATGCTTTTTAATGCTGGGTGAAGTTGATTTCCAGATATCAAATGGTGACTTTGAGAATGTCAGTGATCTTCAATAATTTTTCTCATGAAGGAAAAGACGTTGCCTTTCCCCTATTACTACTTTGAGGAGTGATGCCACTGCCACTCCAGAGCACAAGAGAAATTCTTTGGACCTACATGAGGTATGTATGGTGGTTTGATGGATTTTGTAGCATTCAAAACAAATTTTGTTTTCCTTTTGGTTTTAGTTTTAAAATACTGTAGCTTACTAAAATCCCTCTATAATAGCATCCATAAAACTGAATATTAATAATTATGAATAAATTAGCTTTATTTAACTTTGTTAAACTGACTGAGGAAGTGAATTAAGAATACATTGTCAGTCAGCTGGCTCTGTAATACTTGAATAGCTGACTAACCAAGTGTTTGTCAGATGCTGGTCACTAGCAATTCTGACTTTCAAATGGGGGTACAGCAGGATTCAAGGGGGAAGGTAAAATAGACAAATTATGAAGTACRTGAATAAATGCAGAACTACTTCCACATTGCAGCCACACTTGCTTGGATACATTGTTTCAAAGGAAATGGTTTTTTGGGGGKTTGGGTTTTTTTAAAACCATCAATGTGTCCGTGTCTCAATCTGTATATTTTTGCTAAGGGTAGGATTATGGGGTTTGTGACACCTTTTGCCCTTCTGTGCCAGAAGGGCATGCCATACTTACAGACCAACAAAAAGCAGGCAAAAAGAGGAAAATCCTGCTACCTCTCTGATTCTAATYAGCATGTTGTTTCAGCAGAATGTGGCCCTTGGAAAGATTCCCAAGCAGAAACTGGCTTAACTGCTATCTGCAAACCAAAGTATCCAATACAMTGTGCTACGTTGTCATTAGAATAACAAAATGGACAGTGATTTGTAGCTTTCAAAAAGATCCCTAAAAGTCTTTCACGTCAACGCTTACATATCAATATGTAGGATGAGATTGATGTGACTTGTCCATTTCAGAGTTACTTCAAACACTCAGGGCTGCAGAGTTTTTCCTGTCTTATTTGMCTTGGCAATTTTTGAGGCCAGTATACCAATTACTGTCAGCCTTGGGGATGCTCAGAAGACTACCTGGTGAGGCACAAATGAGGGATTGTGACAATTCTCTTACTGAAAATGGAGACATGAGTAAATGTTATTGGTATTTATACACTGTTAATTTTTGCTCGGCAGTAACAAGACTATAGGCGTAGTTTGAACGAACTCCCGAAGAGATCTAGGTTACATTCACATGATTGCAAATTAATGACTTTGCTTGTCTTAAGAAATTAAGTTTATTCAGTCAAATTTACATTTAGCATATTCCTCTATTCCCTTTAATTTAATTTGTGATTTGTTCATCTGTTATTTTGATTTTCTTCAAATAAAGTGTTTCTTGTTTATAATTAGTGGAAATTGGAGGAATATTTGAGTCATCCAAATAAAAATATAAGTTCTTAAAATAATTTCAGTTACTGAACTGTTCTGTAATTGCACCCAAATTCCACTTTCTAATTCTCTTACATTTTATTCCTTGCTTTTAGGAAAATGTGAAAAGTGATGAAATTAATACTGAAACAGCAACAGGTATAGAAAGATATTTTTCATTCTTTTTGTTGTTGATCCATGAGTTCTGCGTMGATTATTGTAGAAATGGAATTGGTCAGTTTGTCCGGCAAACTGCATTTAGAATAATTGGGATACCTTTGGTAGGTGGATGACAGATCTCATCATCATATGTTCCTTCCTGATTTGCAGTTATTTCCCAAAAGCCAGGCCAGGATGTAGGACATACAAGACCTTATTTGCTGTTTTAGCCAAGTAGACATGATGACACTTTCAGAGTTTGGGAATGTCAATTATACACACTTTTCTTCTACACAAATATTCAAGCAATGAATTCCTGGAATAGTATAGTAAGACCCAACTTGAGTTGAGCATCAGTAGATGGCCTCACGGACAAAGGCTTCCAAACTAGGTGAAATTTTAGAAAGAAAAGTTTCCATTAYAATATATGTCCTTAAAAAATCATAATCAAGAGAGAGCTGAGGGCTTAAGAGTTAAAGCTGTGCAAATGATTTGGTGAATTTGCAAGAAGTAAATCCTCTAGATTCTCCTGAATCCCTTAGAAATTCTCCGCTGGAAAGCAGAATTTTCCAATAACAAGAAATTTGATAATCTGCAACATGCATTTAAGATCAATTTATTTGGCAAAAAAAAAGAAAAGCATGCCCTAAAACCAAAATATTCCTAAGCCTTTTGGCTTAGGACAAGCTGCCCAATGAAATAGACATTCATGTTAGGTCTTGCATCCACTGAATATCCACTCGTGGATCTTCATGGGACCTGCCAGCATCTCCAGCTCTGGAGAAGTCACAGCAGAACCACAAGGTTCTTTGTGGCCACCACTTTGCATTTGGCAAAAGTTTTGAACTGGAGAAGAAAGTACAGAAATGTAGGATTCCAGAATTGTTAAGTGTCATTTAGTTATTAAACTTCATTGCTGAATTCACAGTTTTCTCTAAAAGCCTCATGCAGAGGCTGCACATCTGCCTGGTAGCTATAATGGTGACCACTATCCTGCACTCCTCCACTCTCACTCGTGTTTGCACTTTCTGTAAAATCTATATAAGATTCTCTTATAATAAGAGAATATTATTCTCTTATTGTATATAAGGCTTCTTATAATAAGAACCTTCTCTATATAAGGCTTTCTTATCATAAGGTTCCCCTGCATCACAAACAATAGTTCTGGCTGGTTAAGACAAGACAGAGAAGATTGTTCCAATTACTTTTCAGTTGTCTTTATCCATACTTCTAATGTTTTTAGAGTAACACCATCTTGATGATGGAGTTTATTTTCAAATTTAATTCTTTTTTCTAGGGTTGTGTAATTTCTATACATTGAAAAGCAACACTAAAACTTTTTGAGAAAATATATGATATTTTGTGTTCTAAAGCAGAAGAAGCAGCTAACAGTAAGAACACCCAAAATGTGGAGATGGATGAACAGTTGTTGAAGGCTAAAGCGGGAAAATCACCATTATTGGCTTCTGCTCATGAAAGTGGCTGTATCCGCCTGTGGAGTATTCAGGTAGACAACTGAATATCTTAGGGAAGGGACTGGAATATTGACAAGATAAATCCATTGACAAGATAAATCCACTAATCTTTGGAAAAATGCTCTTTAACTAGCAATTGCAGCAGCAGGTATTTATTGCATCTTTTGGTTATCAGTTTCTTCCATGGAYGCAAATTAGTTCTGCTTTAGCGACTGTAGCGAGGGCTTAATGGCAAGTGGAAAACAAAGAAATGTGATTTGAAATAATTATAACAAACTGAGTATAAATTTATGTGGAAATCTAGAATCTGATTTTTCACCCACAACATTTACTTTCTAAGAAAGGTTTGTAGGCAAGGCAGTGTCCTACTGTTGGAAGATGAGAAGCATGTCTGGAAAATTGTACAAGCCAGCTAGCACTAGTAGGGCTACAAACCAGGAGAAATTAGTGTCCTAACACCTAGTGTCTACAACTGTTATAGGCTTGAAAAACCAGTCATGCAACTGAATGGCAAAGACTTATTTGTCATATCGTCTCAGATCTGTAAGAGCCTATTCCAGAAAACATGTGACTCTAAACAAGACATACAAAGTAAACACAGCAAGGGAAAGTACCATGATGTGGTTGGTTGATTGGTAATACTGCTTATTGTGGCAAACAGTCACCATCATAGCTCAGCCATGTAAAACTTTAAGAGGAATCCCAGCTAAAACAAGTCATGGGGAGAATTTGTCAGAAGGATGGTGAGGTAACTTTGCAGATGTTTTCCACAAAAATAAAAAATTATGGTAAATGTAACTAAGTATAGTCGAGTCGGTGTGAGCTTTGCTGGGTTTTGTTTTCTTCATAGTTGACGTAGTAGTGTCCTTAGATTCCTAGAGAACCTCCAAGTGTAGCCCAAGTTGGTCATGATGATTGTCATAACCATTACATGTATGACAAAATAAGAATCTCTTTATCAGCAAGACATTCTCCTTCACATCCTCCCAATCCTGAAGAGGCAATAAAGGAGAAAGTCTACTGATGCTCACTTGAAAAATAGAACAAATAGAACAAATTGGTGAAGGAGACATCATGGGCACATGATTTGCAGAAACAAAATTTCAGTAGCAAATGAGGTGCATACTGATGTTAATCCACAGCAAATGAGGGTTAAGTGGTGAAATCGGGGTAGGTACAACTAGTCTGACTTGCTGGAACAATTAAATAGCTTGTCCTTTTGACGTACAAGAGACAGCAATCCAGGAGAATACACCACAGTTATCTTTGTCATTCAGTAGATTTAGTAACTTACCTTCTCAGCAGCTTTCTGAATAGATATGAGCTAGTAATTTTGAATAGATAAAATCAATGATACTCAAATTCTGATGCATTAATATTTTTTATGTAGGTATTACAAGATAAATAYGTGGRGTTTATTTATTTGTTTGTTTGTTTGTATGTTTTAGGGAAACTTAATGAAAGAACTTTTGCCATTTTCAGAACATCCCTCAGGTCCTCTGACAGCACTGTGTACAGACACCTTCACTAAAATTCTTGTGGCAGGCAGTAAAGGTGAGTAAACATGTTAGTCATTCTCTTCAGGACAGTCAGTAGGACAAGAAAATATGGTGCAAATGTGCCAGAAATGTGGAAACAAAGGTCTAAATGCTGCCAAATTTTTTCCATCAAAGCTATAATTAAATAATTGTAAAAGTTTTTGTTTTTTAAAAAGATGGTAGATTAAAGCTTAGTGTTATAGTGTTGTCAGTACAATTGTTTTCATAAAAAGAATTACAATTTTCTTCATTCACATGCCCTGCATATACTTTACATCTAAATTATGCTATTAATCCCAAGGGCAAAGATTACTGCTAAAAACAAGCAAAAATTTCAGTTCCATGGTAATAATACTAAATAAAAAGTTGCAACTTGGGCTGCACGGARAGCTGTGATTCAGACACTGATATGGAGTGCCCAGTAATGGCTTCAGCAGTACACCACTATATAGGAAAAGCACTTGTCTGTGCTAGTAACTCATTGCTAGACTTTAAATTCCACAGGAAATCTGGCTTTCCTTTGGCGGAATGTTCAAATGTTTGTCTGCTGTCTCATTCTTCTTCAAACCTTTAGAATCACCCTGTCAATTTTCCTTCTCTGTGTCTCTTATAATGTGTCACTTTTCTTTTGAAATGCTTATTAGAACTGTTTTCTGCCAGCTTCCTGCTCTTATGTTGTYAGAAATTGAATGGAGCAAGGGATTTGATCCTCATTTGTTTCAAATTTGAGCAATAATTTTACTTTTATGTTGAAAATGATGAGAAGTTTCCACTCCTCTCTGATTAAAATGAGTAAATGAGTTCAGAAAGGCAGCATGCACTGAACAGGATTTAATTAATTGTGGAAAAGTATCCACCCTACTACTTATTCATTTGATACTCTCCTTTTGCCATTTTGTGTTTGTGTCACTGTGTACTTGCTTTTCGTACTTTCCACACTCTTTTATCTGTACTGCTGCTACCAATTTCCTTTTCCCACTACAGATTTTTCCTTGTTAGGAAAAGGTCAACTTCTCCGCCTGCCTCCTCACTTGCTTGCAAATGTACCATCCTAGAAATAAGAAGTGACTGCTATGAAAGTTGGGATTAAACAAAATATTCCTCTGTCTTGTTGCAGAAATGAGAAATAAGAGGCAATTTCATCAGGAAGTGGGGAGCCTAGGCAGGAACCCAAGCAGTTGTGGGTGATAAGGAAAGTGGTTCTTTGATTCTAGTTTCACATGAGCACACTAAAATGTTGTAAAATATTGTGTTCATTATGTATGTCATTAACTAAACTTTGACCATTTTACTCAGCTTGAAACCATTGTAATCCCCAGGAAGCTCTCATACCTTGGCTGTTCAATAGCCAACTGTCTTGACAAGATGACTTATTTTCCACTCATATAATTTAAATAAAAAGATTACTTCCATTTCAAACCTATTCAATTAATGACACGTTGCTCATAAGTAGCACGTGTTTCTTTGTGTATTAATGAACAGTCCATTATTTCTACTCAGTGTTTGACAATTAGATAGTTAGTCTCACTGTAAACTAACTGACCTGTAATCTCTGTCTCATTTTGCCTAGTGTCGACTGAGAGCAAGTGGCAGCCACAAGCAAAGGAGTAGCACTAATGAAACTTATTGATGTTTTGCTTTGTTTTGCTTTCTCCTTTCTTAAACAGAGGGATATGTTATTCGCTGGAATATTGCCTCATTCTTAGAAGATTCACAAAATAGAAAAAAAGTAAGGAAAAATCTCTCAGATCTTTTTAACTTGAACAGTATACCTAGACAAACAGGAAAAAAAATAATTCAGAGTTCTACAGGGATAAAAATGTTTTCTGCATATAAAGATTATGTTTTGTGCAGAAATAATAACTTGATGCCGTGAAAAAACAGGAAAACATAAGTAAAATGGTGTTAACATTGTTTCATTGTGTTCAGAGAAAGTATATTATGAATTAATCCATGTCCCCAATTGATGTTTCTACCATATGCCATTTGCAGGCTGTTTCATGGAGGGATTTTTTTTTCACCTCTTCTCATTTTCAGAAAGACTTGCTCGACTAAGCGAGCAACAATTGTGGGATACAGAGCTGCCTCAAATGCAGTTGTGGGGGTTTTTTTTCCTCAGGAAGTAAAGGAGGAGGTCTGCTGGAGGGCACATGCTACTGAAGTGGTTGACTTATTTTTTGAAGAGGAGAAAAATGTGGTAGTGACAGCATCCATTGATGGTTCAGTCAGGTATAAAATTACTAACACTTCTTACTCCTATGGCAAATCAACTGAGCTATTTTCAAAGTTCCTTTTCTTGGTGCACTTGTATATAGGCTGGAACTTAAATAAAATAAAACCGTGGGTACATTTTGTGTTCTGCATTTGAAAGAGCTGGTTTTAATGTCACACTTCTCAGGAAGTAAAATGTTTTGCGGACTGACATTTTCTTTCAGCCTTGCTTTACTTGAACACGTAGRTAATGGCTACATAACTTTAAAAATTAGATCCTGTTCTAATCCTATTTTAGCTTTCAATACTTGTTAAATTGACATGGATCTAAAGTATGGCATCTAATCAATGCATATGCAATTAGACTATGGAAGCTTGAAGATTCTTCATAGACAATATAATTCCTTCTTGGCTAACAAGTATATTTGAAGGAGTTTCTTTTGCTTTCCTGGAAGTATCAATGAAGAAATTTTGTGTAGCTCCTKCTCGGGTGTCAGCACTTTACCACAGGAACAGTCAGGACTTTGGTACATTTACTCCTCAATAACATAAATACAAACATGAACAATTTGTTTTCTGCTTTTTACAACAACCTTCTGAATTTTATTTTACTCTCAAATTATTTAAATCATAAAAGCAATCTCATTGATGTTTTTATGACTAGCATATTGACCTCTACAACAGTGCCGCAGATTTTGATAATGTGCACAGATATCATCTCACTTCTGTTCCACTTCTAAAAATATCCAATTTTCTTCTGTCCTATGGCATTGCTTCTACTGTGTCTGTAGGCTTTGGCATGCCATGACTGGATACTATTTTGGTTACTTTGGACAAGCGAGGAAGTTTGAATTAACAGATACCAGTCGGCTGATTTTGCCTCCTGATGTTAATGATGTTCCTGCTATAATTAAAGGGGAGAGCAAACATTTGGAAAAGAAGAAAGTTGAATATCCTCTCATGCTGGACAGAGACAAGTAAGATCTCATACATTTACATACATGTATGATTGGGAGAACAGTTTTGAAAATATGCCTTTAAAACACCTTTCCTCTGAAGGTCAGAAAAAAATTAGTACTATGTGTTATTCGGAAATATCTTTTTTAAGAGGTTTTTTTTTTTTTTTTTTTTTTTTTTTTTTTTACCCAGTATGGATAAATCTTTTCATTTTTATTACTTGGGGACAGTCAGGATTAGGTGATGTTCAAGGTTTGAACCCAGTAATAGTGATGGCTACATACATGTCTCAGCTTTTACCTAATTAGAAGTGATATATTATATATGCTGTTCAGGTTAGCAGCCTTTACCCTTCAAATTCCAAAAGCTGCTATATTTCTGGGATCTCCAAAAATTTGCTGAAAAAGCTTAATGTGAATAGTTTCATGCAAAACACCAATCCTTCTAGAAGAATAAACCAAATTTATCTTTCAGTTTTAATAATGGTCATCTTAAATTTGCTGGGATGTTATGGATATGTTCACTTACATGGATAACAGACTCATAGAGTATGACATTCTGAAACTGGCATAAATATGTGTTCGACAGCAGTGCTGAACTTTTCTTCTAGGTAGAGTTCTAGAGGGATATGGTTTAGTTACAAGTCAAGTCAGAGAGCCTTGGCTCTTTAGTTTAAGTGGTATTTCTAGTCCTGGAACTCTCCAGTTCATTAATTAGTGAATTGGCCAAGTGAACATCGATATTGAAGGCATCTTCAGAGGCAGTGCACACAGTTTCTTAAGTGACAAAGAAATTAAATCTGAACAAAATATACTTCAGGGCTTAAAAAGCCATGCATTCTTTAGTGGTAAGGTTTCATATACCATGTCCATTCTTATGCTGCCTTTCAACCAAAACACTTTGGGACAATGGAAAATCTCCAAGGTGCTTTAGAGTTACCCCATTTAATCTGGTATCCTGTCAATAATTATTATTCCATGGAGTTTTTACTAATATGAGTAGCGTGACTGCAGTCAGAACAGTAACTCATCAATACAGAGAAGTGCTTGGCTGTTTGAAGGACTAACCCCTGTAACTTATCTAAATAGTCATCACTGGTTTGAAACCTCTGGACCAAAGATACTATCATTAAGTCAGTTAACCCAAAAGAAACTTTCCATAAATTACATGCCTGTGACTACTTTTTGAGGATTCTTCAAATATATCAGTAAAGGAGAATGGCTGCCATACATTTAAACACATTACCTTAACAGACAAAGAACAAGAAAATGAGAAATGCTTAACTGTGTAGCGAACTGGAAAAAAAAGTGTAGCCACATGCTSTGCAACACAGTTTCAGTCTTATCATTCTACATACTCTGTATGCTGTCATCTCAAGAGTGACCTGGTTCCTCTGGGTTAACTGTACCAAACAGTGTAAGAGAGMTAGTCAACCATCATCCAAAAGGCAGTGTTACTTATGGATGCTAGGCTTTGCTCTTTGCAGGATGCTGACAATGGTGTTGGGACAAGTCACTTATCTTTGTGATGCATATGACATTCATCACTAAGATAATATTTGAGGATCTCAATTAACTAATCATGTTATAAGTRTTATTAACAGATATATATTCATAGAATCATAGACTCATTAAGGTTAGAAAATGCCTCAAAGATCTACCATTAACCGTCCCGCAAGTGCTACATCCAGATGCCTTTTGAACATTATCAGAAACAGACTCCACAGCCTCTTTGCAGAGCCTGTTCCCATGTCTGACCAGCCTTTCAGCAAACAAACTTTTTCAAATATCTAATCGAAACCTCCCCTCGGTGGAATTTGAAGCCATTTGCTCTTGTAGTGTTGTCATCTGGGAGAGAGGCCAAACCCTACCTGGCTATGCCCTCTTTTCAGGCAGTTGTAGAATGCAATAAGGTCTCTCCTGAGCCTGCTTTTCTCCAGGCTAAACAATTCCAGCTCTTCCATCTGCTCCTCATAGGACTCATCCTCCAGACTCTTCACCAGCTCTGTTGCCCTTCTTTGGACACACTCCAGCACCTCAACATCCTTCCTGAATTGAGAGGCCCAGAACTGGACACAGCACTCAAGGGGTGGCCTCACCAGTGCCAAGTACAGGGGGACAATCACCCCTAGTGCGGCTGGCCACCTATTTGTATATGACAGATTGAATATCACAAAATGTTCTGAGTTGGAACGGACCCACAAATGTGAAGTCCAGTTCTTAAGCAAATGGCCTGTATGGGGATCAAGCCTACGACTTGAGCATTATGAGCACCATGCTGTAACCAACTGAGCTAGTTACCATGTGCTATTGGCCTTCTTGGCCACCTGGGCACACACTGGCTCATGCTCAATCACTGTCGACCAGCACCCTCAGGTTCTTTTCCACAAGGCAGCTTTCCAGCCACTCTGCCCCAGCCTGTAGTGCTATCATGGATTGTGACCCCAGGCCAGGACCTGGCACATGGCCTTGTTGAACCTCGTATCATTGTCCTTAGCCCATTGGTCCAGCCTGTCCAGATCCCTCTGCAGAGGTTTCCCACTGGCCAGCATATCAACATTCCCATCCAACTTGCTGTCATCTTTGAACTTACTGAGGGTGCACTTGATCCCCTCATCTAGATCATCAATAAAGATATTAAACAGCAGTGTACCCAACACTAAGCACTAAGTGTTCACTAAGTGAACATCTCTAATGACTGGGTGCCAGCTGGAGTTAAGGCCATTCATCACCACTCTCTGGGTCCARCCATCCAGCCAGAACATTGCACCCAGCTAAGCCATTAGCAGTCAGCTTCTCCAGGAGAAAGTTGCACGAAAATATTCCCTGCCGTGGCCCTCGCTATCTTACAGCTGTGTGTGGGGGCTGGRCTCAGAAACAGCCTGGACTCAGATAGACTAAACAGCGCAGGCACAGTCTAGGTGACGCAGCCAGCCACAGAGATGAACGGGATTGGACAAATGAAGCTGACCACCAATTATAGAAAGGTGCATGGACATTGGATGTTGCCTGGCCATGTGATGTGGCTGAGGCATGTGTGACTGGTGTAACTCTATATGTGGGAGATAAGAAACTGTATATAATTCATGCTAGCTGGCTGGTAGAGAGAGAGCTGGAATCCAAAGATTAATAAAGAAGAACCTGGACCTGCCTCTCAGAGTTCACGTCGTCTTTCCCGCGGTGGGCGCTTACAATTCCCCAAGTGTGCACCTACTTAACAAGGCATAAATCTATCTGAGCAKCATAGTTGCTTGCAGTTTAGACAAGCATCTCAGGATTCAATTGAAAAATGCCAGCAGGTAGATAGACTCATATAGAAGAATAGTCTCAGTTTCTCTCTGCAGTTCCTTAGGTTGTGTGACCTGACATTTTCCTGATTATAAAGGAAACTGTTAATCTGCACTAGCAGACATTCCAGGTAATATCTTCTCATGGCTAARTTCGGAAACCAGACATATGAGCAGAGGAAACTTTTGTTATGGAAGTTGCATTCAGGTATTCTAGTCAGAACTTACAGAAATTCTGAAAAGAAATCATCAGTGACAGTGACATGTGACTGYTGTAACTAGTGTTTATATTAATATTTCCTGCCTTCTACAGGTGATAGCAAGTACCTGGATTGACAAAGTGTTAGTGAAGCACTTCATGACACCTATGAAGTCCAAATATAAATTATATTTTGAAGACATATGAAGCCATTTGTAGTTCAAAATAATTTTATTTTGGAGCCAGATAAGAATGTTGCATTCATAACTGTTCTTTTGATAGGAACTTCAGTTTTTTTCTTGTCTTGTATGTACAGGTGGAAGTCACTGACCAGATCAGCTTTAAAAAAGGCTGGACAAGGGGATGAAACTCACAGCTTTAAGTTTTTCAAAGCTCTGGCTCCTGAAAAGGTACCTAATGTATATGAAAAATTTGTTTATGTTCTGTTCAACATATAAGAAATGCAACTATATTTCTCATTTTAAAAATATCCATAAATAAGCCTATATCCCTTTCTCATTCAATGTACAAGCTAGAACAAAAACACATAAACAGAAGGATCTAAGAAACCTCTGTGGTTTTCACTCCCATTTTTCACATTTTAGAATTTCCGCAAGCGCGGCAATATTATATTTGAGAACTGTTTATTCATAAAGAAGGGTAAGTGTTCTTATCACTTCTTACCAAGAGGGGATAGAAAAGGGAACAGAGGGAAAAAGAGAAAYGGAGAGAGATAGAATAGCAGACAGATTGTTACCGCTGTACCCCGGGCACCCCGTCGACGTCAGTTCGGCAGAAGGAGCGTGTGTGCTGCGAACCGCGAGGAGCCTGCGTGGCTTTCGAGGTGGGCTGGGCACGATTTCCAAACAGCACYGGCTGCGTGTCCCTACCGTCRGCGGAGAACACGGTGCYGTGGCTACGGGCACACTCGTGGGATAGCTGCAACTTCTGTGGGCAGGCTGGGGCTGTGGGCACTGCTGGACACACGGCTGGGGCTGCGGGCACTGGTGGACACACGGCTGCGGGTAGGCAGGCAGCGGCTGCTGCTGCGGGACCCACGACAGCGGCTGCTGCAGGCGGCGGCTCSGTCGGGAAGAGCAAACACGAGGTTGTYGCAGGGTCGAGCTGCCTCGGGGAAGCGGYRAAACAGAGCACACGAACAGGATAGGTGCGAACAGGGAAGGCAGGACCACAAGGAGAAAAGGAAAAGCGAGGGAGTGGGGGGAGGCCAAGGTGACTCTCCAGGCGGGCCCCTGCTCCCTCCAAGAACTCCAAAGGAAAATGGCCTCGGTTGTGTCGCCGTTATCTGCTTTTATATGCCTCGCGCTCCCATAGCGCTCYGTGATTTCCTGYGCATTTTTTTCCGCAYGCTGTTTTCCTGGGCATCCCCCCACCAGCAAGGGGGGCAGAGCGCTTGCAGAGCAGCAGGGGAAGCTGTCTGTGCCATGCCTGGCTGCCAGGCAAAACTTCCTGAGGGACAGAGCTCCCAGCACATAACACATGTTGAGGCATAAATAAAAATCAGATTGGTCTCTCTCAGTAGCACAACTCATTCACTGGTTTAAAAGTGTAAAAATACCCTAGCATTTTTCTCTTCTTCAACGGGAAATCTAAATGTCTTAAGTTTACTTGAAGGATGTGTGAAAATACTAGAATGACAGTGAATCCCTGGTTACATACAGTTGCTCTTTCAGTGTTCCCATGAAATCAGAAACCAGGAGAGTCAAATTTCATTACATGCATTTTCTACAACTCTAACTGAATATCCATGCAGCTCCTCCATCTTTACGTGACTTAATGCTTAAAAGTCATGGGAATAAAAATTGTCTTGCAGTTGTAATCAAAATGTCTTCATTACCTTTCGTCTGCAGTTAGTAATGCACTGACTTAGGCTTTTCTTGGTCAGGGTCACCCTTTGGAAACCTTTGAATTCGCAAGCAGAGAGGCTGGTGCAATATTTGGGTTTCTTCCTATATATGAGGTAAGCACAAGTGTTTTCTACTTTTTGCAGTGGCATTCATAGATCAGAAGCCATTAGCACTTGTACATTATTACAGTGATATACTCTGACATTCCACTGTTAATTGTCTGCTTCTCAATTTAATTTTCTGACTTGATTTCCTTTACTACCTATCCAACTCCATTTGGTGGAAGCTTGATAATCCAGTTGAAGTGAGGATGCCGAAAAGTAAGTATTGCAGATGTTTTCTTCTCCTGTTCAACCTCATGTCATTAATTTTTTGCTCAGAATAAATGCTTTTAACCAGCCCCAAACCTATTGATTCTCATCTGCCCAAAGCTTCACATATTGTAAGATAGTACTATTTTATGGGTATTAATGAACTGATCTATTGCAAACTGTCTAGCAAAGCTTCTTAGGTTTTCCTTCTATGGAGAAAGATCAGATTAGTCCACAGGCTTGTCTATCCCACTTATCATAGAATGAAAAGAATGACCCCTAGCAAAGGTGCTGATCTCTTTCTATAGAGGGTACCTAGAGAACTAACTTGGATAAGGCTCCAAACTCCTAGATGTCTGGTTAGGTGGGATAAATAGGATAATTTGCATTTCAGCTGTACATTCCAATATATATGACCCAATGCAGTATCTCAGACAAAACTCAGGAGCAGAGTGTTCAAATAATTGGCACATATGCTATTTTTCTGACCATTAATGTACTTTGGAAATCTGTGGGTTTTTTGCTTCCCAAAGAAGAAAATAAAATACAGGGAGTCTTGTGCCTTGGGAAATTAGGAGCAATTATTCTGAAGCCAGTGGCACTGCAATGGATTTAAAACAAAATTAAGTCAGATTTTTTGTTAGATATACACACAATTTTTTGGTTTTTCTGTGTTGTTACAATATGCTAGCAATCTGGTCTATTCACCTCATATGTTAACTAGTTCTTGAAATTTTTTAAAGGTCTTCAAAGGGTCAAAGCTGAGAAGTCCAGTCCCAGGGGACGGGAAGTGGATATAGATTCCATTGAAGACTTGAGTCAAGACAATAAAATGTAGTTACTATCTTCATTAAAGTGGATTAGCAGATCTCTTTTATTAATTTTTCTGGGCTTTTTTTTTCAATTATATTTAAATTCATTTCATTATTAAGCAGAATGTACAGAAAACAAATCTTTACTTCTCTTCCAATCCTTCATGCAGAGAATAAACTCTAACAAAGTCAGTGTATGATTAAACTAGATATAGAAAAGCCCATCTGACGTAATGTACATTTGCTGACAGTTACTCTTTATGTCAAAACCACTAGTTTCCTCTCTGCTTCAATTTTTCCAGTTTGAACTTCTGTATATTGAATATTACACTGCTTTTTTTCCTGCCAGATTAATGATATACTCTACAAAGAGTTAATATGCCCTGCGGTTTCTGCCTGTTAGCGCCTTGCTTATGCTTTCAAAGAGCATGTTCATCCTCTAAGCCAGAAAAGTGCCTGCTGAGCTTACATTCAATTAATTATCCATCATGATTCCACAAATCCTTTCTGGCATTTCAGTGTTCCAGGACAATGTCACAACATGACACAGAGCACAGACACATTTTCATCTTTTGGCTGTATGTACAAATGATGCCAAGTGTCTCACCTTAGTGAGTAGTTAAGATAATACATATAACTACTGACATGATTACATGCTATTTTGGGGAAAATAGCAGGTTTTCTATACTACTGGTATTGAATGGTGTTTAATCTGCTGGCCTTCTTGGACAGACATTCTGCTCATGAACTGAATATACAGTGACTTGCAATGATTTACCTTCCTTCAGCTTGTTATAGGGTATGACGGATTTAGGGGTAACTGCAAAATACCTTGCAGGAGTATATTTTAAATTCTTATGATCAGCTGTACCAGGTCTGGCAGGGATTAATGTAATTTTCTCCATGGCAGCCTGTATGGTGCTGTGTCCTGGATTTGTGAATAAAACAGTGTTGTTAACACGCCACTGTTTTGGCTACTGCTGAGCAATGCCAGCACAACAAGGTGCTATATTCCCACACCCAGTGAGTAGGCTGGGAAGGGACACAGACAGGACAGCTGACCTGTACTGGCCAGAAATTTTCCATACCATATAATACCCTCATGGAATGGAGCAGGGAACCAAGATGTTCATGATTATAGTGTTTGTTCTTTCCAAGTAACCATTCATTATGTGAGCTGAGGTGCTRCTTCCCAGAAGTGGCTAAACAAACATCTGCCTGCTGGTGATAAGTAATGCTTGAATTCCTTAGTTTGCTTTGCTTGCGCATGCATCTTGGCTTCACCTATTAAACTGTCTTCATTGTGGCCCAAGAATTTTCTCACTTTTGCTCTTCCCAATCTCTTTCCCATCACACTGAAAGAAGAAGCAAGGAAGAAATTGGGCAGGCACTTGGTGTCTTCCACCACCATATTAACCAACCTTATGATTGGTTAAAAAAATCAGGCTTGTCTGACAAACCAAATGGCACCAGATAAAGATTTGCCATTTYCTATTCGTGTTCACTTCATTTGACCCATGATTTAACAGTTAGCATATGAAAGGTAACATTTTTGCAAGTCTGAGTCCTATATCCCTTTGAAAACTACATAAACTCTCTTTCACTTACCTGRAAATTGCCTAATCTTCAAAGATTATTAGAAAGCACAGTTCAGGTTCAGAGAGATTCTTACCCATTTATTTTGRTGCTCCTATGTGTTATGTTTTATCATATGAAATGTAATATTTTCTCTTTGGTATTGTCCCTACTAATAGTCATGCCTAAATTATTTTACTGTGGTTGCAAGATGCAGATATCCCACTTCTCTTCAATGTATTAAGTGACTATTCACTTCCTCAGAACTATTTGCTCAATATTTTCTTTTTACCCAACCTTTAGCACTGCTAGGATTTCACAGATTCTTCATTTTCAAATGGTACCCTTTTCAGACTTACTTCCTTCTCCCTTCTGTTTTCTTTACTAATTTCCTGTGTTTTCCAAGTGCTGATTTGTAGTCATGGCTATTTGTGACACTATATTCTCCACTGTGTAGAAAATATCCATAATGTAGTACTGTTCCCAGTAAAAAGCATTTAATCCTATGGTGAATGAAATCTATGGACAAGCTCTCAGGAGGGAATCGTGCTTGCAAGGAGAACTGTCAAAAATGTGTGATATCTCTGTGCTGTCTCTATCAGCCTCCCATCCAGTCACTACCTTACTGTTATGCTATTTAAAGTGTAACAAAATTACAGTGCTATAAGTGCTATCAGATCTTTTTTTTTTCCAATTCATTAAATTAAAAAAAAAACTGAAGTAGATCAAACTGCATGTTATTGCTCAGCATTACTGCTTACTTCCAAATCCTAGGGCTTTATAAGCACCAAATTGAAAGTGGTCCTGGCCCCAAACATTTTACACAATGATATAACCCAACTGTCTTTCTTAAGTGTCAAAAGAAAAGCAGAGACATTTAATTTCTTTGAATAGATAATCCAGTGAGGCACTGTGCAAAATTTATTACAAGATTAGTTGTTTATTGTGTACTTCAAAACAGAAGATGAGACTGGAAAGAAATTAAGCACTGTAAGTGATACTTGCACCCACTCATCTTTCAGCAGCCTTTTGAATTCTTGATCCTGCACAAGGCTGTGTGTTAATGGACTTGTTGGTACTAAGTGTGGACTTCCTCTATGTCAATGTATTTTTTTGCAGGATGGTTCCTTTCTACCAGCATCCACAATTCTATTGCAGGCTTAAATGTTCCAGATGAGTGAATTSTTCTATTGTTCCAGATCACTACTGTATTAAGGAAAGGTACAAGACAGCCTCTTTCAGCATGGCAGAAGTCCATATTTGTACTGGCTGCAGTAGTTAGTTTGCCAGAATTTCATTACAGCCCTTGCCAGAGCTTTACAAAATCTGCGGCGCTCTTCAGCTGCCCTCACCCACTGGGGTAGTTCAAGCTGAATGGCATCAATGGTGCCAGAACTGCGGGAACCAAAAGTCTTTGTTATGTATCCACCACTATAATAGCTTCCATTATTTGGGCTAGGGTTGGATGGAGAAGGCACACAAACATAACTCTTATTTTGTTCTTCAATATATTTACCCAAACTTCTGTTCCCTGCAATCAAAGCCTCAGAAGACACATTGAACAACTGACTGGCCAGATAGCTAATTGAGGAATTTGATGCAGAAAAGATACCTGAGTTAAGGGAAGTTTTTGAAAGAGTGTAACCTAGTTCTATCCACCTTTCAGGATGTACTTGTCCATGGATATCCAGAATTAAGCCGCCTGACATCTGTGATTTTGCAGTRGTCAAAAATCCCATATAGTCCTCCCAGGCCTGTTCTGCTTGGGGAATTCCAAAGGAGGCTTCTTCCTTTTCCCTGTTAGCATCCATCTTGAACCGCTGTAGGTGGTTTATGATGATATGTGGGAAGAAGCCATCAGTAATGTTGTTGATTTCTTCAGCAAGAGCTTGAGCCACCTCTATAGTATACCTGTCTTGGTTGGTAGACACTTTGCATTTCTTAGAATTTTGAATACTTCCAGGAGGACAGTCATGAGAGAAAATACAAGAGGATGTCTTTGCATCCCAACAGGCAGCCTCTCGATCAGGGATGTCTTTGGGTTCCATTGACCCACCATGTGGGACAGAGAGAATGAGGTTCATGTTGCCCACTTGATATTCTGTGAAATTTTTATGACCAAATACAACATCTTTGGTGCCAGTGACTTTCAAAAGCAAAGGTGAAATGGAAAGGAGGAACAAATACATATTTTTAATTTGCTGCCAGAAGACTCAGCAATATGTAATWTATCAGTATCTACAAAAAAGCAAAAGACAGGTTATAGATTACTTCAGCTGGGAACACATGAGAAACTGTTCAGATGCTGTTGGCATAATTAGTTAATGATTAACCTATTTTAGTTTTATTCCATGTGTTCTTCCAAAGAAGAACATTTATATGAGAAACAGAAATTAACAGGACACATAGTATGGCTAGATGTAACAGATGCAAGGGAAATGGTAGGTTACTGGGGCTCCCTCATTTCCCCAGAAAGCACAAACAATATTTGATCATCCCATCTGATTCCAAAAAATCACCCCAGCAAAATATTTGAAATAATTTTTCAGCACCAAAGCMTTATTTTTCACTTCTTAAATGTAAGAAAATTCTAACAAAATTTGATAAAACATCTGTATGTCATTGGCCTGTGTGAAATATCTTTTCATTATGAATATGRTTACATAAACTAGAGGCCATGTCAGTCCAGACCAGCACTAGGCTGGTGTAAAATAAGGACACTGACAAAAATTGAGTCTAAGTTACTTTAAGATCTTTATAGATAGGTGCTAATGAGTACCTTAAGTAGTGACTCTCTTATCTTTAGTTTGCAAGTCTCCATTCTCTTCAAGTGACCTAAGATATTTTKAAGCCCTCACTATGCCATTTTTTGTAAAGCTGGAATTCAACAAGATGCTGACARGTCTTTCTCATTTGAAGACATCTCTAGAAAGATAAGTGTCTTGAGTGTAACCGTGTTGGGTGAATGTAATATGAACCAGTGAAGCCAGTGAAATGCTGAATGAAAGAGGATATTTTCACTTCCATTAATAAAAAAGCCTCCTCAGAAAAGGCCAGATGATGAGTAAATAGACACAGGCATATGCAGATGAATAAGGGTGCCCTGTTGTCTGTCCTGCCCATATCATTACATCACCTGCAGAAATGCAGAGGATAAGAACACAGACAAAGGAGAGAATAAGAAAGAAGGTCTGAAAGAATCGATCCCCAACATCTGGCCTAAGACCATGTATGACAACAGCCAGTAATCCTGAGAGGGCAGGGGGAACTATGGAAGCACCCCTCCCATCAGCTGCCTACTCTAAGAAAGGGAGAGGACAACTTCACCCAAATAATGCAACAAAGTATTATTTTCCTACTATAAGGAAGTGCCACTGGATTTTTAGAGATAACCACTGCTGCCCACTGAACTGGTCCCCTCTGAGGAGCCTACACCTGAAAAATAAAGGTGTAGGCGTATGTAGGTGTATTTATTTATAAAAATAAATAAAAAATAAAAACATCTGTCTTCCTCTCTTCCTTCTGGGCTGAAAGCCCCATAAAAGTCTGTCTGGAATCAGGGAGCTGGAATCAGATCCCTGAGAATCTAATCCAAAGTTTTCCTGCTCACGAACAAAGATTTTTTGGTTTCATTTTATGCTTTCATTTAAAAGGTCGTTTTAGTTGAGCTACTGGCTTAAAACAACATTTTATCCAAGGCCTTGTATGGTTTATGCTTCTCTAGACTTCCCTGAGACACAGACATTTACCTGTTAGTTCACTGCTTGCACTACCAGAAACGCTGAGGAAAGGAATGCTGTCAAACATTATTTAAAGTCCCATTTCTCAGAAAAACAGACTACACATGCAGTGTGTAAGTATAGGAATAGCTTACCTGAGGTGCAGTGGGGTCCAGCACCAAGTTAAATAAATCAACAGCACCAACCCCCAGGTTGGCTCACCTGCCCCAGAAGAACTCAGGTTTCGTCTCAGGCTCTCATTTAAACATGATGACACAGCTGCTCCTTTCCCACAGCATGCCAAACTGTTTGTGGTCAGCAGCAGCAGTTTGCTTGTCTTTTTGCAATTTCTTGTTAATGACTGAATCAAGCTGTTAATGCTACTACATCACGCCTCARTGATATATGGAGAGAGAGTACTGTATAATTCCCAAAGTGAGAGAAAGTCACCTTGGCACAGCTCAAGCTCTGGACAGACTTGGARAGTCTGGAGGAACTCAATAACCCCAGACTGGCTTAAAGAGTGTTCTGGACAACATACAGATGTTGTCTGGGATGCAGAAGACGTAAAGTCACAGTAATACAGGAGAGAAATTCTATTCAGGTCTTCATCATAGCAAAACACACACTCTCCAAATAATTTTAACTGAAAGGAAGGGTAATTAGAGAAGCACAGAAGCATCTGCAGCTAGGAAGAATATGCTAGCATTTACCTTCTTCAGCACAAGGGTAAGATTCATGTGCATGATGAACGAATTAACTGTAACAGGTTCCAAGTTCTCTTTGATGGTAGGTATATTTATATTATTGTAAGGTCAAAAAGCATCCACGATAATTAAAACCGGTAGTCATCACTGCGAGACTAGGAAAAAAGGAACGAGTCACGTCAGTTCGCCGACCTGAGTCAGGTCAGCTTCCTGCCTCTGCACCTTCATAAGCGAAACTGAACTCTCCTTGCACTCGGCTGCAGCTGAGGCTCTGTCCCGGGAAGCCTCTAGGGGCCAGGCTGAGCCACGCCATCTACAAGGAAGAGAGGCTTCAGCAGCATCCCGGATGTATTATTTCACAATGAAAGAGTACAAGCAGAAAAAAATATGCGGTGGGATGCTAGAGCTTACTATGCTTTTGTTCTCTATACTGACATTATGTTTCTAGAGATCAAAAAGTCTTGCCACAAGCAGCACAGCCACGCTTACGCTCAGATTAGCTAATAAGCTAATAATRTCAGCAGATAACCATATAAAAACTCTTTTAACTAGGTAATCTAGGTTTTTAGTAACTTTACTAACACGATTGATATAATATTTTCATGATAAATGAGGAAYTTTTACAAATATTTCCTCTGCTACTAAATATAATTTGAGGATGTCATCCTCTAAACTTCTCTCAAGTGTGTATGACTATGTTCATGAATTTGCTTGTGATATTATAGCCTGTATTCTTAGCTAAGCTATAAAAAGCTGTGAAAATATATAGTCCATAAATAGAAATTTCAATAAGTGACAGATAAAGGGCAAAGTGAATGTAATACTGCCACCTATCAGAGAGAAATCAAATTTCTTTTCTAAGAAATAGATTAAATAGTCCAGCTAACTTCCAAACTAACTTTTTTTTTTTAATAAAAATGATCAAATTCTTGAGCAGTGAAAACAATACAGTAGCACTAAAAAGAAATTCACTGAAATTTTGGAAAAACTAGTATAAACTAGATACCCAATCTACTGATATCACCATAGCTGATGCTCTGATTGTGAGCTTCAGCAAATTCTGAGTATTTTAATATACCACATGGAGATACTTCCAGCTGTGCCAGACACTGCAAGGAAGTCTAGTAAAAATCTCTAAGACGTCCTTGTCCATTGTAGTGCACAGTGATGACAAAATTAATTTTGCTTTACCTGTCTGTGTAAAGGTTAGATGTTTACATTAGACACAGTGATCCCATTTCCTCTCTTTAGGAGAACTGCGWTGAGAAAGAAGCAGTTCTAGTGGTACTTCAGTGTACTTATCTTGGGCACCTATCTCAAATTTCTATTAGGGGTAAACAGGGCTATACTCTGAATGGCTCTTTTTATTTTATTACATGATACAAAACAATTGCAAAGGAAACAAAATGTTTCTGCTATACTTTGTATTTCGAGRTCTCTTTAAAATATATTCTGCAAGTCACTATTACAAAACTGTCCAAGTAAAGAAAAAACACATAGCAGAGATTTGACACAGTAATTTCTAGCCTTGCCAGCTCTCCAGATACAGGAACTACTAGTGAAAGAAAAGAATTCTGTATATTGGTACAAGTGTAATAACAAACCATAATGTGTTGCTACTTCCCCATTTCTTGCTACTTCCCCATTTCATCTGGTACCTGTGGGAAATAAAACTGCAATACTAGAGTGTTCTTCAAAGGAATAATTCACCAAAATGTTGCCATCTGACTTTCTTCCAAGAGACAGTATTGAACTTAAGGATCAGTAACTTAATCCAGTTTTACCAATAGCTCTATTGAAACAAATAAAGCCTTTGACTCAATGTATAAAGCAACTTTTATTTTATATAAGTTATGAGATGTCCTGAGGATGGATCATACTGACTCATACATGCCTGAAGGTACTTGTAATAAACTGAATGTTAAGGCATGTTGTGCTAACTCTTCAATTCCCAAGTATTCTTCCTTTCAGATAAAGGAACTGAAAAGGAAAATCTGAGCTGGGCTAGAGAACTTCGTTGGCTCCAGTGATTCTGACTCTAAGGCTCACCTTAGGACTATTTTTAATGTAATTTACAGAAAATAGTCAAAAGTATATTTAACTGAATTGTGCATGAGACTTTGAATTATATTAGTACATTACATGGTCTACTCTGATCACTGTTCTTCCCCATGAGCACAGCAGTTTGTTAGAAAAAGGAATGTCAGAAATGATAGAAGAACACATTCTTCAGAGAAGTGATGCTAATCCAAACAGAATTCTAATTGTGATTGAATTCAAAACTTGTGGAATGTGTCATATATAGTCAGAATCATGGAGTGAAAAAAGAATTTGCAAAGTAGAATTCAATCAATACTTTCAACATTGAAACATCTTACACTGTCATTGTGGCCAAATTATTTCTATGCCCTTTTTAATTGAGAAGTTGTAATTCAGATGCGCTCTTTTCAGAATGCATTGAATTTAAGCTTTCCTGTCGGCTATCTGGAAATATTGCCTTTCTACCCTGCTGACTGAGTCACCCATGTAACTGAGTCAAAGAATCCAAGAACTGTACAGACTTCAAAATGGCAAATAGGAAAAAAAGCGTTATCGGGTAGATATAAGCCTACACGTATTTCTAATTGCAATTTGTGTTTTTATTTATGCAAGCACACCCTTGTGTTAACAAGAAAAAGAACCTTTATGACACAGTTGTACCATCCGTTCTCACATTAACCCCAGGGTTTCAGTGCTGTAACAATAACATCTGTACCTCACTCAATCCTTCTCAGTCAGTGACCCGCTTCAGCTCTTCCCCTCCCCTCCTGGGGGGCTAGGTACAGGACTCGGCCCTTTGTTCTGACACAATTCCGTGGGGCCTTTTGATGTCAGCGTATTCAATGTTTATAAATATCGCGAGGGTTGTTTTTGTCCCTGCGCAGTCTCCGCGCTCCCGCCCGTGAGGAATGCTGTCAGGAATGCTGTCAGGAATGGGCTGTCCCGCACCGGCTCAGGCGGTGCCGCGGGCCGCGCGCCGACCCCGCCCACGCCCGCGCGGGGCATCATGGGGGTCGTGGTCCCCGCGCGCGGGGCGGGGCCACCGCGCTCAGCGCGCGCTGCTTGAAAGCCCCGGGCGGCCACCGCGCGCTACGGCCGAGCTGAGCCGGGCCGGGCCGGAGGAGCCGCGTCTGCCCCAGCGAGGCGCGGGCTGGGGCTGTGTCCCCGCGTCCCCCGATCCCTCCCTGGCCCCACTTCCAGCAGCAACGAGGTACAGCCGCCGTCGCCGCCGCGTGGGGGGAGGCAGCTCCGACACGGGGTCCGTGGCGGCACCCGCAGGAGCTTCTGGTGACCCTGTCGCGGCCCAGCGCCCCGTCTGTGAGCTGACCTTCCTCGTTCCTCGAGCGAAGATTAAGAGAGAAGATCGAGAGCACAAAACACTTGGCTCCATCCTTGCTCGCACCTTTTCCCCCCACTCTGCGGCATCATGGGGATCCAGGGCCTGCTCCAGTTTATTAAGGAGGCTGCCGAGCCTTCCCACGTGAAGAAATACAAAGGGCTAACGGTGGCTGTGGACACCTACTGCTGGCTGCACAAAGGCGCCTATGCTTGCGCTGAAAAGCTGGCCCGAGGAGAGCCCACAGATCTGTAAGTCTTACGTTTAAGTCTCGGCCATTTTACAAACTAAAGGTTTGTTAACTTGGTGTCTTTTGAACTAAAAACTACATAATAGTTTCGCTTTTTACTATTGAATTCTCAGTCCCAGTTGAACTCTTTGGAAATGGAAATTTTGACGATAAAGGAACAGCTTTCCAGCTAGGCAAAATAAATATTAAAGTGCACACTGGGGAACAAACTCGAAAAAATATTGTTTTGTTAAAATACCAAGTTTTTTCCTAGCATGTCTCACTCTCAACAATAATCTAATTTCTCAGATGAAATTCTGTACATGCAGTTCTTTAATTTCAAATTTAGTAGTATTTTCAGGAATTTATTTTGTATGTACAGTTTGTAAATACTGCTGTGAGAAAGGTAATGATACCAAAGAATTATGGAAGCTCTGAATAAGGTGTGAGGTTTTTGCTTCACTTACTGTGTTTTTTGTAAAAGTGGCTTTTCTAAAACACATTTTCAGAGTTACATTTCTAGGGAAGGAAACAAACAAAAATTGTGGTCATATTTCACGTTCAGTTTTGCAACTTAGATTAGGTTTGCATAAATTCTTGCTCATCTCTGGAAAACTAGGTTGAACTCTTGTTTTAGATTGGATATAGGTAAAATTGGAAGGGATCACTAGATGTCATCTCATCTAATCTCGCTACTCATGCAGCTTCCCTTAGAGCACATCACTCAGGGTTGTATCCAGATGGCATTCAAACCCCTCCAGAGAAGGGAGAGACTCTAAAACCTCTGTGGGCAACCTGTTTCAGTGCTCGGTTACCTGGACAATAAGGAAGTTCTACGTATATTCTAGTGGAATCCCTGTGTTTTCAGCAGGTTTCTGCCTGTTGCCTTTTGCCTATCACTTGCCACCACCCGGGACCTTGGATCCATCAAATATTTGATTGGAGGCAAGAGAGAATTGGTACTTTTCAAATGGATTCAAATATTTTCTCCTGGTTATGTTCATAAGAAGAGCTGTGGAGTTTCATCCAACCCTGCCTTGAAGATAGTGGAGGTTCCTCAGAATCCTGAGGATATGATACATTCCAGTTGAGCAAAAAAAAATTGACTGTCAGGAGAAATATTTGCAGTCATAGGAAACTTTGGAATGGCTTCATTTAAATACATAGGTACTTTATCTGGCAAATCTTGTTTTGATCCTAGACCGGCACTTTAACTGTATTGTAGCGTCCTTTCACACTTTAAAATTCATCTGGATTAAGGTGTTAACAGCTACAGTGCTACTTGCTCCTCTCTTTCAAAAATCATTATTATTTTTCAGTAGCTCTAAATACAGTTTCTTCAGGGCTCATATCCTTGCATTCCAAATGCTTCTAAGTCTCTTTTCCCCTCCCTGTTGACAAGATTGCTCTTGCTGCTTTAAGCAGTATCCTTAAAATAAACTTGATTTTTTTTTTTAATTGAGCATCATTGTAATGTGCTTGCTTAGAGTTTACAGCAGATATTAGATTTTAGTTCTGTGCTGCTGGTAAAATGATCTGTAGAAATAGCGGGTAAGAAGATGAGAGGTCTGAGGGAATAAATAACATCTGGAATTCCCAGCAAATATATTTTCAAGGGGTGGGCTTTGAAGGCAGTGGAGGATTGCCTCCTGGTCCATATGCTGTCTTCACAGTACAGATTAGGGAATTTTCTGCCTTTTGGAATATTTTCAGTGCTGTGCCTGTATTTCTAGTATGGSAAGATAGGTTTGTATGTCTTGTCCATATAAATATGATAGATATTTCGATCATCTGGAGAGAAGAGTGGATAGTTCCACAAGGAGTGATTTAGTAACACATCACTCCTTCCTATTCTATGAATGTGCATTTAGTCTTCTTTTCTGGGGAAGGATCATGTACTATGTTGTCTGCCTCCTGATTATCTGGCCATTATGAATTGAGTTGCTGAAAGTAAAGAGATGATCCATGTTTTAATGTATCAAGTTTTTGTCAATGTTGAATCCTAATGTAGCAACATCAAACTGAATTATGCTTGAATTCTTATTTCATTTTGTCTAGGATAGAGGAGAAGTCATCCCAGTTCTTATTTAGGAGGTAGACCATTTCTCTTGGTAAAAAAGCCAACCAGACAGCATTCAAGTGTTCTTAGTTTTTTGTGATACTGGAGAAATATACAATCTGTTATAATTTTTGAACGATAGATAGTCCTAAACTTAAAGTTCTCCTTTCCTGCAAGTGAAAAATATGTAACAGACCTGTGGTTAACAACAAAATCTATCTTTCTTTTCTTACTTTTGTTTTTGTTGATACAGTTATGTAGTTTTCTGTATGAAACTTGTTAATATGCTCCTGTCATTTGGAATTAAACCAATTTTGGTATTTGATGGATGTACCCTACCCTCTAAGAAGGAAGTGGAAAAGGCACGACGGGAGTAAGTACTGATCTGTATTGACTTGCAAGCAAAGCAGTTTTATCAAAAGTCAAAATCAAAAAACCTCTAAGTAGGTAGCAAGCTCTGGTAAAGTCCCCTGCAATATAGTGTGATTTCTTTTAATTACAAGTCATACTGACTTTAGAGGTTTTAGTCCAAAAATAGCAATGCACTTCATAAATGAAAGCCATTTTATAGAGGAAGGAAGTAAACATTTGAGCACTAGTTCCTGTAATGTATTAGAGGCTTTTAGTTTACCCACACTTGTGATCTCCAAACATAAAAGATTTTCTCCTAATATAATTTTATTTAAAAATAACACCTCCTTCCTTATCCTTCTTTAGAATTATTCATATAAATTTGTTTCAGGTTTGGACACTGGTCCCTCTAAATGGGACTTTTCACTGAAGCTGTGAGAATTTTTTAGTAGTGGTTGTTATTAATAAATTCTCATGAGACACATGCTTCCTTCTGCGTGAACTATTTCCGATATACGAAATTAAGTAAATTAGGTTTTGTGTCCCCTAAATCAATGAGTATCTAGTGTCAGGTATTCCCACCTTCCATTAGGTCTATTTTACTGCAATCTGAGAGTGGATGCATTCCTTCTTTTATGCTGCTGATTTCAATTCCTGATTTATCACTGTTTTCTGAGAAAATATTCTAAATTTCAACATTCAATTCTAGTTGTCCTTGTCAATACAATGACCTAGTTATCCTTTTGTTTTAAAAAATTATGCAGTATCCCAGATTTGGAAAGTGTTGCAATTTTTTCCCCCTTTCTTACCTGTACCTCTTTAGTCCTTTCTGCTATTTGGTAATTTAAGTGAAAAATAATCTGACATTGGTGGATATTGTCTTTCTTTTAGGAAGCGTCAAGCCAGTCTTCTGAAGGGGAAACARTTGTTGCAGGAAGGGAGACTCTCAGAAGCTAGGGAATGTTTTGGGCGCAGTGTAAATATTACCCATGCTATGGCTCATGAAGTTATTAAAGTAAGTTTTCAACACTCTTGATAATGCCCCTTTTAAAAAAATCTATGCAGTAGGTAGCATTTCCTACTCTGTATGTGTGGCTACATCACTACCTCTTCTATATGGGCAAGAAAAGAGTTCACTCCTACTTAGTCTCTAATAGCCCTGCATGTTATTGGATTGTCTCAGACACAATTAACAAACTTCTCTTCAAGTTTATTATGCCAATTTGTATAAATGATAATGATAAATAGTGAAATACATCTCTTCTTACTGCTATGAATTGAACTTGATAACACCTCTGTCTTACTTTTGCTGCACAAAAAATAATCACAATTTTTTGGTATTTTTTCCCTTGTCTAGTTTCTGGGCATAGACTACAGAAAAATATTGGCTGATTAAAAGTTGTTCTAGTAGGTTTTTGCTATACTTTCAATGCAGTTATAGGATCTTTATCAAAAAGTATTAAGTTTGTTCTAGTGCTGTTCTCCCTTATCCAGAATATAACTTGTGTGAGTTTGAAGTTGGCACCTGTAGTCAGATGGAGTGGCAAGAGTGTTACAGGAGAGGTTGTTTTGTAAACCAGTGTGTGTAGATCTAAACTGCTAGAAATTTGAGTTTTTGCTTATGAAATATTGGGGTCTTACTGGGGCCAGGATGAGTGTGTGATTAGAGAAGTCATGGTTTTGGCTTTTTAACATAGAGGTTCTTATGCTTTCAGATGACTTAATGAAATTACTGAAAATTGATGCAAATGCTTGTATGCTTTTTGTTTATGGACAGGCTGCACGAGCCCAGGGAGTTGATTGTATTGTTGCTCCTTATGAAGCTGATGCTCAACTGGCTTATCTTAATAAGATTGGCATGGTTCAAGCTATAATTACCGAAGACTCTGATCTTTTAGCTTTTGGATGTAAAAAGGTATGGAAGAAAATACTGATAGCCTTTACTTCTTGCTTATATCTTAAAAACAGAGTTTGAAGATACGTGTCACGTGTGGATTTAACTCTTCTACAGTAAATGTGGGAAACGGAAGAGATGAGAATAGCACTTTGCCTCTCTTGTTTCCACCAAGTGCAATGAACCATCTTACATGGGTGAAAATTATTGTTTTCACTTCCTCTTAATTTCAGGTGTTTCTGAAAATTGACAAGTTTGGAAATGGACTAGAGATAGATCAAGCTCGACTAGGAAACTGCAAGCAGCTTGGAAATGTATTTACGGAAGAGAAATTCCGCTACATGTGTATTCTTTCTGGYTGTGACTACCTCCCATCAATTCATGGAATTGGGCTAGCTAAAGCATGCAAGTTACTAAAATTATCCAATAATCCAGACATTATAAAGGTAAATTCAGTTTTACTTTGTGTTTTGCTTTTTTGGCAGCCTATATCAGTATATATGAAATTAACACAATTGAAATATGAATGGTTCTTCTTTTGTTTTGAGGAGAATACTAAAGAGTATTTTTACCTGTGCTTTATAAAGATGCTGAAGTAAACTTATTGAAGCTGTTATAATAATATAAGAAATACAGTGAGGTAAACTTTAGATAAAGACTTGTAATCCTTCAAGGGATTCTGTTTGAAGAGAAACTTAATTTTTTGTAAGATTTTGAATTYTTTTCCCTCCTGTTTTTTTTTTCTGAGTACTACTTCTGCTGAGTAGTTATTAGAACTGCTGAATGAACTCTTACTTCTATATAAGTACATGTTTATCTGTATGGGGGAGGAGTAAAGATTGAGACTCTTACTTAATGTAATATGTATAAATATGGACATTTCTATATTAAAAATCAATATGGAAAAAATGTGATGTGATTGAAAATAAATTAATATAGGGTGGTTCTTTTCTTGTCCGATGTATGAAATGAAAAATAAATCTTGTATTAGGTATTAGAGAGGCTAAGAGGGTAGAAATAATGTCTTCTGTGTGGGTAGTAAGGGAGTAGAGAGATTAAAAGCTAATAAGAATACCCATGGGGCTGTCCTGAAGAGGCAGGTAAATCTAATCCAGAAATGGATTTTAATATGCAGTCTAATTAACTTAGTGTGTTATCTTCTCTCTAAAGTGTGCTTTATTGTGTTTTATTTTTTTCTCTCACAGACAAAGAACCACGATTTTTAACTTCAAAATGTTTTGTATCRTGTAAAATCAACTAGTTTGGCTTTTGTGGAAGTAAAAAGGGAACTTTGAACTTTTCCCATGCAAATAATTTTTTGCTTAAATGTATCTCTGAGCAAAATGCCAGGTTTTCATCTGGTTAGTTTTGCTTTTTTTTCTCCATTGTTGGAAAAAAAAAAAATTGCTTATATGTTCTGATAATATGAATGTTAAAAATTTGATATGCATTAGTTTATGCAAATATAGCTTAGGGAGATTATCTGTTTTTATAATCACCTTATTTATTTATAATCACCTTGTTTATTTATGTATGTATTATTGAGCAWGGAGTTATAAAAAGTTAAGTAGTGTTATTTATGTGCTTGTAAACAATTTGAGTGGGAAGATCTTTCCTTCCCATTTAAGTTGAATCTGCTTGCTGCAGTAGGACACTCGTTCTACATTTAATTACAAGCAAAGATAATTAACAGATGAAATGTATTTAACCTTTTGTGTGAACTGTTTAAATGAAAGAGTTGATTAATTTCTTTTTTGACAGATTATTAAGAAAATGGGGCAGTACTTGAAGATGAATATAACAGTACCAGAAGAATACATACAGGGTTTTACACGAGCTAATAATACCTTCCTTTATCAGTTAGTTTTTGATCCTGTTAACAGAAAATTAGTTCCTCTGAATGTATATGGAGATGATATTGATCCAGAAACACTGATTTATGCAGGACGGTATCCTTTGTGTTGAAACTGCGGAATGGGGAAATAAGGGTGAGCWGATGTGGGATCTTATAATTTTCATTGTACCTGTGGCGTACTTCATTGGATCCCTATTGTTGACTAAAGCCTGGCTTTTCTGCAGTCTGAAACTGCAGAGGGGGGTGGTTTCTTCTTTTCTTCTTTGCTCTGATTTTCATCAATTAAAAAAAAGTGCGGGGGGTAACTAAGTGACCTATCATTGATACATAGTTTTAGGCAGAAGTTATTTCTGATTTTTTCCTCTTTGGAAAACAAATTGTTAAATACAGTTTATATTTAAACTGAATTGCTTTATGACTGTCTTGAATTTTACTTGTGTTGTGTGTGGTAATGTCTGCCAGTTTAATTCTTATAATTCCAACTCATTCTCTAAGCATTTCCTGTTTTATCGAACCACTCTTCCTATAGACAAAGTAGCATTTTGCCACATTTCTGCAACATAAATTTCAGCATGAAGATTAGGAAAATGGTGAGATAGAGGGGACTGTTGAAGCAGTTACTAGCTTCCTATGTTCGAGCTACCTAATCTCTGTCATTTCCAGAAATTAGGAAGGAGAAAGTTGATACCTTTCCTGCTGATAGTTGAAGGATTTAATTTTGAGTTCCATGTTTTGCTAGGGATTTCAGATCTATTACTGCTGTTCCATACTACTGCTGGAATTATTTTTCCATCAGATTGAGCTAAGAGTGGTAGTATTAGTCCTTTTGGTTAATATTCTAGCCATGCTTTTTAGCACAAGAACAGGAAAATGGCCATTCTAACTTTTTTCGATACAGTTGTTGAAATATAATATTCAGATTTTTCCTTTACTATGATGAGAACAGACATTTTGGTGATGGTACTGCTTTTCAAATTGCTATTGGCAACATTGATATCAATACAATGGAACAAATTGATAATTACAATCCCGACACGGCACAGGTAACAATATCTTTCTTCTGAAGTTATAAAGTAAGAATTTGATGTTGGTCTGAATGTTAATGGGAAAATATTATTGAATGTTATTCACAAATTAATTGGCAGTGAAAGCTATTCTGGTGTTACAGAAACTATGCTCCCACACACATAATTCTCACTCTTTTTAAAGGTAAAGTTTTATTTTTCATGGCATTTGACTTTAGTATTTGTTTTACTTTCATACTTTTTTGGCAAGTCCTTAATCCTATTTACAAAAGTAAATAGGACTTAAAAAGAAAAAACTCAGACTTTTGGATTTCTTCCAAGAATAATCCAATATTATGTTTTCTGAACAGAAATAAAGTTTAAATTTGGTCTGACATAAGCAGATAGTCACTTGTGCCATATTGAAATGAAGATATCATGGCAGCACAAAAAATGTGGGAACAAAAAAAAAGTTTATGTGGGGTATGTCACTAGATGTACAAATGCAAAAATCCTTTTATGCAAAGTGAGGAAATCATAGGTAGAAGGCAAGATTATAAACATGTGTCTTGATTTTTAATCGTTGTTTGTAACCTGTACAGCAGAGAAGTTGTGGCTGGAATGACCAACATGGTAATCATGTAAATAGCATTTGGAGCAGAGAATACAAGTTCAGCCCTACTGAAGATACTGCTCCTCCTAAAATGCATTTCCCAGAGAAACCAACAACCAAAGGCATGGAGAAAATAATTAGTGTTAAAGGACTAAAACTTCCAGGCAAAGAGCTCTTGGTGAAAAGGCCAAGGAGTGGTATGTTTTTATTWAACAAATATATGAGTAACAGTAGAAAGCTATGGGGAAAATAAGGATTTTATCTTGTACTTTATGGTATAAGACATTAGAGGCTTAACTCTGAAATCTTATTGTCTGTATTCTGTTTTCAACAAGCTACAAGACTAACAAGCTGTAATACTAAAACCTAGATTATGGTTAAGGGTGACAGAAAACTTTCAGCAGGCCTTGATTTTAAATTTCTTTGGTTTGCTGTAAAACTCTGGTGGTTTCAACTTCAAGTTATGTTTAATACAATCTTTATTTTGATATATTTTTGATGTTAATTTCTAACTTAAAATACCTTGTGAAAAAGTTAAAACATCCTGTTTTTCCTAGAATTGATATCAGGCCAGTTAAAAAATGTAAAGAATGTTTTCTGTACTCTTCTGATACTGTGCTGCCTCTATGCCTTATATAGGTGTTCTTTGTGCCAACTTTCTCACTTTTTCTAGTGCACCTGTGATATCTTGTCTTCTATATCACCTGAGTTACATGTGTTCAAATAAACTGTGGGCTTGTAAGAGAAGAGGCAATTCCTTGTTTCTATTGTGCTTTATCTAATATGTCAAGTGTTTTCTCTTCCTCTGCATCCTTTGCTTTCTGTTATACTACTAGGGCTTTGGTTTTTTCCCTTTGTTACTCCTGGCATCTTCCTAATCCCTCACTTACCAAAGTCTGCAGGTAGTTTAGCAACCTGCCTTTCAGTCAAATGTAGCTTCATTTTAATTGTTCTGCCTTCACTCCATCTAGCTCTTCACTGAGTTATTTTTAAGGCTACGTACTAGAAAACAATGGTGTAAAAGACATCTAAACTGTATGGTCAATAATGTTCTTACCAGACCTTACTAATATTTTTTAGCCTGTACGAGTAACTATGTAACATTTAGTAATCTCATAAACTGGTTGATTGTGGAATATGCTTTTACAGTGATGCTTAAATTGTCTTTAGATTCAGAAGAAATGTCTGATGGAGATCTGTTGAAACAATACTCATTTTCAAAAGCAAAAAGAATCAAGGAGGAGAATGTTCGTAATGGTCAAAAGAGTGTGTCAGCAATACAAAGCCTTGATTCTCCASGGAATTGCATCACTCAAGAAAGCTCTAACTCCCTGCCCAGGCTTAGAAATAAATTTGCTTCGTTTTTACAGAGGAAAAACAAAGAGGAGGATGGTGTAATTGYTCCAGGAACAAGAAGCAGGTAGGCTTATGTCACATGTTTGCATAAGTAGCAAAATACTATTTGCTATCCTGGTTGCTAAAAWAACTTGAATGCTGAAAAGAGGAAAAATGCTACATCAAACTCTTTTATGCAACCCTATGCCCATGAGCCAAGATGGAGGATCCTTTGTGCTAAGCATGCTATCTATCGGTGAGACAGATAATATTCATTTTTTACTGCAGAACTGAAGACTAAGACTATTCATAGAATGGTTTGGTTTGGAGGAGACCTTAGAATCATCTCATCCCAGCCTCCCTGACATTGTCAGAATACCTTTCAATAGACCAGGTTGCTCAGAGATCCATCCAACTAGATCTTGAACACTTCCAGGAATGGGGCATCTGCAGYTTCTCTGGGCAACCTGTTCCAGTGCATCACCACAGTCACAGTAAAGAACTTCTTCCCAATATCTAATTTCAACCTCATTCAGCTTTAGATCATTCCTTTTTGTCCTGTTACTACATGCCCATCCCGCTCTCCTGAAGACTCCCCTGTAGAYGCTGCAAAGTGCTATAAGGTCTTCCTGGAGCCTTCTCTTCTCCAGGCTGAGCAACCCTGACTTTCTCAGCCTGTRCTTGTAGGAGAGGTGCTCCAGCCCTGTGATCAATTTAGTGGCCYTTAATATAATATTCAGTACCTCTGGGTATCAAAATCAATTAGGAATTGGCTGGGGTTTCTTTCCAGGTAAAGGACATATATCTCAAAAAAAAAACCCCAAAGTAGCTGCTTTGTGCAAATATGTAAGCAGTTAGTGAATACATGGATGTCAGCTGACAGGGCTTTTTGTTCATTTCAGTAAAGCTAGGCCTCCTCATACCCTGTGATAAATAGCTGTCCTTATCCCATCCCATTCAATTGACACTGCTAATCTCTGCAGCAGCACTTTGAGAAGAGGGACTTTGTTATGTTTTGGGTTTTTTTCACTTAAAAAAAGTAGCCACAGCTACTTGAATTTGTTTTAAAAAAACATTATCACAATTAAGTCTATTATTGTGTAAATTTTATCTTAAATAATCTGAATATTTTAGAGCAGTGTGGTTTTTTAAGGGGACAGTCTTAATACCTGAGTTTTAAAGCACACCTTTCTGAGCTGAAAATTTTTGAAAATTTTTTTTATATGTTGCATCAAAAATTAAGAGTTGTCACTGATGGTAGGTTCTTCCCTAAATCTGTGCTCAGTAATCTCAGAAGCTGTTGCTATTCCATGGAAAAGAAGCAGTAAAGTTCTAATTTTGTTGATAAATGGTGCTGAAGTATTTTGCTATTGCTTAGCCTTATCCCTAATTAATATAGTCTTAAATTTTGTAGGATTTCTAGATGTTTTCTCTTTCAGGTGAAGAATAATCTTAGTATTTCAGTCAATGAATGACATTTTTTACAGATGCCTCTTCCTGCTTTTTTTACTGTAATTTTCCAAATACCTCCCTGAGGGATTTTGCCCATTGTCAAAATAATTTGTCTGCAAGTGTACCTTGAAAATAAAATTAATGGATAGAGACAATAATGGAGACGACATACCTGTTTGCATAACTTTTTTCTCCCTTGTCTTTACCTTTTTTTCTCTTTTAGGTTTTTCTGCAATGATGCAGTTATGTTTGACAGTAGAGCAAAGAAGGATGATAGTGATCTAGCTCAACATGCTGAGCAGGACTCATGCATGGAGAAACAGGAAGCAAAACCTGTAGCAGAATATGTTTCTCAGTTTCCAGAAACTGAAAAATCAAGGACTGTCTCTAGACCTCCTGGAGAAAAGAAGAAAAGTTGTTTCCAGTGGTTTAGTAGCTACGTTAGTAATTCAGGAAATCTTGGTGCATCTCACAGTGTATTTTCACAGCAATTTCACCAACAGAGAAACAACTGTGTTGTRTCAGAGGAACATCAGGTTAATGGGGTAGTGTGTGATGAATCAGAGGAAGAGTCCTCCCCCTTAATAGAACTGGAAAAGTCAGCACAGTCTCATGGGTCTTGTGAGCCATCAGAATACAGGTTGGAGTCTTCAGAAACACTACAAGGGTCCGACAACAATTCAGGTGCAAAAGTAAGAAAATTTGACATTGTTTCAGCATTTGTTTTTTCTTTTAATAATTGAAGAAATTATGCAGTGAAGTCTCCTCTTCAGAATGGTGCCACACCAAGATTATATAGCTTGTGCTAACAAAACTTGTCTCTAAAAAGAATCACAGAATGATCATATTTCATTCTCATCAATGCTTAACTTAATATGTTAACCCATTCTACACAATTATCTTAAATAAAGTCTGTTCTCTGGTTTTAGCTTGTCTTCAGTCTTTCTGCTGCTATCACTGCAGTGGCTTATAAAAACACCTGGTAGGCAAGCTTTTGTTCTCTGCTTTTTTTAGCTCCTGAAGTACTTTTAGAAAGCRTAAGTGTGTCTTTGCAGTGTTGCTTGCTAAAAGCCCAGGTTTTTGTATAAATTCTTAGAACAGCTGAAAACGTTATACTTTAAATTATACATGTGTAGGTATGAAAACATGTATTGCATTTATGAAAAAACATGACCCGTTGTAAAACCAAATCAATTTTCTCTTTAAGGAATCTGATTCCAATTCAAAACTGGCTGATGAGCAATGTACTGTGTCTCCAGCATTTTCTGCTGTTAAAACTGACAAAAAAATTCCAATCATGAAGACCAAGGTAAGAGTTCTTTTGTTTTTATGAGCTTTACTAAACTCTGAAAATCAGAATTTCTTCTAGTTGATTTTAGAACTTCTAATGAAAGATTTAAGCAATGCAAATGTTGGAAAGACAAAACTGTGTTCTTGTTCCTCTGTTGGATCTGAGATGAAATATAACAAAGCCATCTATGATCGATAATAAAGTTGCACCTTGTTTGGGGATTCTAAGCACTGTGGTATAAAATAAGTCAAGCTAAGGCAAAAAACTCCACTTCAGGTGTTATGATATAAATTCCAGTAATGTTCACAGTCCAAATAGTCACAAGATACAACTGTATTTTGACTTCTCTGTTGTTTTCTGAAAGTCTAAGAGTAAACTTMTGTTCCTTGTCTTTGAGATATTTCTTAAGAGCTTAATATCTTTGTATACTTGATAAAAACTTCTAAGACTTTAACAGCTCTGGCTCCTTAGGTGTTGTCATTAGAATTGGCCGCAAGATGAATAAGTAAGGGGAAGATGTTTTCATCCTTTTATGTATACTTCTACTAAATTTTCTTGTAGGCATACTGAAAATCACAAGCTTTTCTCTGCCAGACAAGAATATTGCATGTTTTGTAAAATAGTGACATCTTGTGGTGATTTCTTGTTAGGAACGTATTTGTTAAGAAATTTACGTTTGTATTTTGGAACATAAACATTTTTCCTGCTTCTCCTCAACAAGACTGAGCAAGGAAGTCATCCTGGGATTCTGAATTCTATTACTTTGGTTTTAAGGCTATATTTAATGTTTTACTTTGTTTTGCTCACCTTTGAAGGTATTATTGGGAAAATGAATATATTAAATATTGGGGAATATACATAATGGAAGTACTGGTGTAATATTAGCATCATGTAAACAAAAAATTTCAGTATGCTTGGAGCCTTCTGAAAACAAGTGCTGAAGTTCAAAAAAAGCTATCCTGACAACAACAACCAATAGGTCAGTCATGTTGTCACTTTGACCCACCCAGATTCTTAAGACTCCTCTGAGTCATAGGACCTGTAAGACCACAGGAGAGGGAAAGCAGAGATAAGAAGCACCCCTTTTGGCTCAGTTTTCTTTTAGGATTTACTAAAATGTAGGTTTCTTATTAGGACCCTGCGAGTGTAAAATAACAGAAAAGTTTGCTGGTATGTTTGACTGAATTACCGTGAAAGAGTATGATGGGATTTCAGATTTCTACCTTGCAAATTAGAATGTGAGTCAGTGTAAAAGTATGTCTGAATTTTTTCTATTTTTAGGAATGGATAGTATTTCTTTTTGTAGCAGATGAAGGCACAGAAGGATATCTTAACCTGTGAAATAGATTTTTTTTCTATTCCTGACATTCCAGCTTTGTTTGCAAAGCACTTTGGTTTTTTGATTATAAGCTTTGCAGCATAATATCTGTTGTTTGCTGATTGCAGTTTTAACCATGTGTACTGCAATATTAAAATCACGCAGGTTCCCGGCTTACGTAAATCCAGTAATATAAGGTCACATATGGTAACAAAGCTCAAGCCATTGATACCAGCTAAAGTAAGTGGACTAAGCAGGAAACTCTCACCTGTACAGAAGAGAAAGGACTCTGATACTGAAAATAAGCTGGGAGTGCAAACCACCATTGGTGAACTCTGGAAAAGCTTCCAATTTAAAAGGTGAGTTGCTGTAACTCTACATAGTATCCTGTGTACTTTATTCCCAGAGAAACAATTTCAAAGCAGGCTCTATATATGTTCTCTATGCAATGTAATAAGGATAATAGCCCAAGAACAGCTGTTTTCTGTATTGAATTTATAACTTCCTAAGCTTGATGTAAACATGAAGCACGGCTTTTGGTAAGTATGTTTTTAGAATTACTTTTTTCTTTCTAAGCAGGAAAAAACTCTCAGCTAAAATTCATTTAATGAATTTTATTGATTATTATGTTTAGTTTGCCATAACTGATGTGAAAATCAGTGCCATTGCTTGCCATCAAACACCAAAAGTAATTTCTTGGCCTAAATGCAAAAACTGCATAAAAATGCTAAATTTARTTGAATACAAGGTTGTTTCTATTTAACTCTGTGTCACTCACATTTGGAGATGGCTGATTGTCTGAAGTGTAATATTAGCATTCTGTTTTCAAGATGATGTTGAGTTGATGGAATATTTCTGTTAGCTGGAGTATCTGATTACAAGAGACATTTTTGCACGTTATAAAATGCTTTTCCTTGTGCAGATGATGTGACTAGCTTTATTGCTTGACCTCTAATTGTGAATGTGTGACCAGGGTTGCTCACAGGGAGAAAATTCATATATTCTGATTTATCAAAATACAGGCAGATAGAATAGCGTGAACGTAGATGGCACTCTCTGCTGATGATTTCAAGACTAGGCTCTCACCATGCACATTTTATCCATCCAGTTTTGGCTGGTTTGTAACTTCTGGGCATTTGTACTGGGATACTTATTTTTGTAGTACTTACGTCTGTGTAAGTAATTGTTTATTAGGTTTTAGGGGATTCTTTTCTCACCATATGTCACAAAATCGGGTTTTTAACTACTAGGACTTGCTTTGTTCTGAGTATTTTCTTTATTTTTTAAGATTTTAAGATGTTTCTACATTAGCTTTACGCTTTAACAATTATGCTACCTGATGGCAAATAAATCATGTGGGACTCTAGCTTGTTCTGCTTTAATGTCAAGGCTCACAGGACATATATATGTAAAACTACACTTATTCAGAAGACTTAAGTGTTAAGGAGGCATGTACAACCCAGACTAGGATGGGGTACATACAGTCTTCCATAAATAAATCCAAGAGTTATCACTCTGTCACTTTCAGTGAAGTTGTTGGGCTGCAATGAAATTGAAATTACAATTTTGCATCACAGATTTTTTTTATTTTGTACTTATTMTTAGATAGAGTAGGTAGTTAGTGAGGGGTCTTGCTTTGTTTTAACCTATATACTCTTACTGGCCTGTGGTTAAGAAACACAAAATATAACATTTTTGGTTTTGTGTTTGTTTTTTTGTACAGAGAGTATGAAAAACTTCCTTCTTGTAGAAAGTCAGATCCTTTGTCTCCAATCAAAGATAATATACAGCTGACACCAGAAACAGAAGAAGAAATCTTTAATCATCTGGAACGCAGTCATGTTCAGCGAGCTATATTCCAATGAACTACATGCTGCTTACAATGGGATTTTAATCATTGTCGAAATTTACCTTTTGGATATTTCATCAATATAGACAAGATGCTTTGAAAACCAGCAATATACTTTAGTCTGACTAGTCATTTATTCTCTCTTTTCTAAAAGCATGCATTCAAAGGCACAATTCTATACTGACTGGAATAAAATAATTCAGATTCCTGTGTTCTCTTATTGAAAGACCCCATGCTAAACTTTTGTCCAAACACTTTCTCAGTTGCTCCCAGGCATTTTATGTAGGTCTCACATACAATTCAAGTTTCTATGATGGCAGAAGAACAAGTTTGTGTCTTAATTTTTAATAATGAATTATTTACCTCTTTTTTCCTCTTGAGGCTAATCTGGCTTCAAGACAGGTTTAAAACTACTGTCCAGTGTGCATAACAGTCTGCAACATACTTCCAGTACTCTGATAACTATTTCTTTTCATTATAAGGTAAGATTTGCTCTCTCAACAGTTGGCTTTCTGTTTGATAGTCATGTTGGTGGTGGAATAACTTGGGGTCTGTAGAAAGGAATATCACAGATATCTTATACCCAGATTCTAACATTAATAGAATGATATACAAAAAAGTGTAGTGTTCCTCTGTTTAACCTGCCTGTTTCATATTTATGTTCTTCAATAACAGACACGCAAAATACCAGTTCTCAGAGGCAGGGTTACAAGATAACATTGCTATCACAACTGGCCGAGCTTCAGTGTTCAGCTAAAGGGAAAGAATCCAGGAGACTAGGGGTCCTTGCTATGTTTGACTGAATTACCGTGAAAGAGTATGATGGGATTTCAGATTTCTACCTTGCAAATTAGAATGTGAGTCAGTGTAAAAGTATGTCTGAATTTTTTCTATTTTTAGGAATGGATAGTATTTCTTTTTGTAGCAGATGAAGGCACAGAAGGATATCTTAACCTGTGAAATAGATTTTTTTTCTATTCCTGASATTCCAGCTTTTGAGCTTTTTGCAAGAATTTCAACTTTGAAATTACCTGTGAGAGGCAGGAGTTTTTTAGGCTGCAATGTACTCTTTTTCCTCTCAAGAGAATTTCCATCTGTGAAACTAAGGTGACCAGCTAAATTAAATTACAAATAAGCTGCTTAAAAGAGTATGTTATGCATATATTTGTGGGATCAGCCCTCTTATTTCTGCATTTATGGTGAAAGTATGAGATACAAGAATTGAAGCAGTGGTGCTCTAGGACAGGCTTGCTCTCATAYGTGCACCTCTACAAAATCCCTACTCCTGAAAAGCAGGTTATTTAATGTTSATCTTCATAGTTGAGAATTATCTCAGCTATGATGTTTCAAATATAGGCCAGGGATAAATGTTTATGTTTTCAGTCACAGAACTATTGCCTAGGATGAATTTTTATGTGTTCCAACAAATGTTATAAATATGACAAAATGAATCCTTGAACAGGAAACAAAAATAGTTTATTTTCATCCATTGCTTATTTATCAGTGTGGGAGTTGCAATGTTATTTTGTACAGTGCCTTTTTCCTGCCTCTTCAATCAAAGGGCCACCTGTTCCTGCCTTAGTGGATCATCATAAGAGACAAACTGCTTGTTTTTGTATTGTCAAGGACAGGTAGTTTTAAAGGATTATTTTATGTGCAAACTACATTCTATGTTCTTAAAACAGATTTCCTAAAAATACTTTGTATAGTTTCTAATTTGTACTTTTGAGACCTTGGGTATTGACTTCATATTACAGGGGATTCTTCTCAGGAATAGAAGCATGTCTTACATGTGTTACACATTTACATATAAGCATATAATAGTATTTAGGTTTTATACTTTTAGTATGGGGTTATTATGTTGGTGTTTGGTCTGTGGAAGGTACAATAAYATATGCAAATGAAATAGTGCAAGATTTTGTTCCTGAGGTAAATAGGAAAAACTCCATAGTAAAACTTATTAAGTAGTAAAATAGAAGAAATTATTACAGGTTGTGATGGCCTGGGGAAGATAAAATATAACACCATGAAAAAAAAAAAACCCAAAAACATGGAGAAGGGAGAGTTTGGTAATTTTTGAAAAAACAGGCATTTAAAATTTGGGTAATTGGAAAATGAAGAAGAAATGAGTGGGAGGAATTGAAAGCAGATGGCAAGCAGAGCCATGTCTTTGTGTGTTGCTTGCTTTATAATCTCATATGAAATACTAAATACATCTTTTTAATATTTGTAACTAATATTTCTAATTTTATCACCAGGACTTCTGAGTATTCTTACAAAATGGATGGCATTGCTATACCATATCCAAAGGGTGAATCTAGCCCAGAAAAAACTAAATTTACTGATGGTGGTGTAATCAAGCTTCACTTTTGAAAGTGCTGGCTGGCCCATTCCTTCATCAGAATACCCATAGGACCTATAAATATTCAGTGTCACAGAGAATTAATATGAGAGTGTATGATTATCCAAATCAAGTAATAGCTTTGAAACTGTAGGTAAGTGACTTGTCCAAATTCAACTGAGTATTTCTGCTTAAATCTTATTATTCCCTCTCACACAAATCAATACAATTGTCATTTTTATGAATGCATGGGAATATGGATGTTTTGAGGTCAATTAGCAGCTATTAGCATAATTTTTTGGCAATTAGCTACTTCTGTTAAACTAAATGCAATTTTAGATATTTCACCTTACTGTTTTTTCCTCTAATGGTCTTAATTAAATTAGCTAATGCTAAATTTAGTATATTAAAACCATTTTAATTAGCAAAAATCCTTCAATATTCACCTGATTTACAGTGGACATTTTTAAATGTCTTAGAACTAAACATAAGTATTGATTTATAAATAATTTCTAGAGTAAATATAGAGGACTCTGACTTCTGAGGTAATGGTTGCTAAATATAAGAAACMATTGAACATTTTTGGGTGGGTTTTCATTTGGGGATTTTTCTTGTTGTGTGGTTGTTTTTTCAATAAGATAATTTGCTAAKCAAAGTAGAGTTCAGTTAATGGTCTAAAATCTGATCAAAACTGGATTGTCCTGTGTCCAATGCTATATGAATGTTCAGAGATTTAAAAAAATAAGCTAATATTTATACTGGCTTAAAAGTCTACTTCTTGGGGTCAGTCACAGTGAGAACATCCATCTTCTCACTAAGCTATAAAAATTACATGATTTTGGAGGCTTCTGTGGTTTGTCTTGTTTTTCTTGGTTTCCTGTATCTGGCATGCACTTTCTGCCGACACCAGAATCCTGAAGTGATATCTGTTGGACAAATTTCTGTCTGACAATAAAGACCAGGATACTTGGTCAGTTTTCTTCATGTTGATGTAGTTTTCACCCACTTTGATTTCACAACATTACTAGCTTCAGGTATGCAATAATCCTATGTTCTGGATCAGGATTTTTAAGTCAAATTTCAACTGTCTTTAAAAAAGAAAAAACAATGAAAGTGCACCTACTGTCAGTGCTTAGCTGAATAAATACAAACCACATATAAATATCGCCATATTGGTACTAATGCATCTTTTGCATACCTTCAGGTTTCTTTTTTAAACAATTGTTTAAAACACATAAAAGCTTTGCACAATGGATGAGTTATGATAGTCAAAGTGTAGTTTTGGGGTTGTTTTTTTTTTTGGCTGACAATATGGTATTTCCTTAGCAAAAATAGCATGAAAGGCTTTCCTTTTTTTGCACTGGCCCCCATTTTGATTTATTTATCTATTCAACCATCAAAATGTCTTGCATATCTGCTTTTCAAGCCAGCAGTGACAAGTGAGGAGAAGGAATTTTGTGCATTTTCTGGAGAAGTTGCAATAGTCTGCAGTAGTGATTTCCCCAAAATAAATGATCGTTTGGTCTCCCTTCAAAACAGTCCTCTGAAGATTTTTGTAGTTTCCCAGGTTATAGACTGTTATTCTAATCTTATTTACTTAACCTTGAAGTTAGTTCATTGACATCATTATTTGTCTTCAAGGCAGTAAACAGTGATTACTGAACTTTACAGCTATCAAATGCTGTTTTCATTCTCTCTTTTCTTTTAAGTTCTTGACTTGCTTTGTAGCGCTGGCATGAATGTGAAACAGTAATTTAAAGCATATTTAATCTACCTTTCCTTTTCTATAGTAAAGGACAATATTTGTTCTGCAGTCCTGCTTTTATTTTCCCACACAAAGTTATACAGCTATAGGAAGCACTAAGAGACTGTGAGACTAGATGCCTGAGAAAGTTTTATTTTACTTGAGACTCACTGACTYGTGTGGATTGATGTAGGTGTTTTAAAACAACATCCCAAGACCCTGAATTTGTTTCATTTTTGCCCAGTACCAAATGTTATAGACCTTTGACCTCTGGCAAGCATTTGAAAAACAAAATCCTTCAAATTTTGCTAAAAACTCTTAAGATCTGTTCTGAATCCTCTTCATAAAATACAGCACAAACTTAAGGCAACAGAGCAATGCCAGAGATGGGGAGGTGTTATCAATTATTAGAATGAATATTTAGTCTACCCTAGTCTAGGGCATTAACTAAGACTATTTTTGTAACCAATATAARTAGTAAACAGCAAATTTCTACCTGTAAAGTCTTAGAGCAAATGGTGAAATCTAATTAACAAAAATGCAATTGAATTTCATTAAATAGTGTTTCAGCCTAAAGGTACAGAGGAGTAACAAGGCTTTACACATTGTGACAATGCACATCTCAGAAGGTCTGAGTGCTCACTCTGTTCCTTGTAGGCAAGGCTCTTGCTGAATTCAACTCACTCCCTGTGGCTAAAAAGCTGGGGAATGTTTATTGCTATGCTCATTCAACACAAAATAGAGTAATTACCATCCATATCCTGCTTGAGGATCTGAAAATAGGGACCATTTGTCACAGTGCCTACTCCTGATTTGCTGGCATGCCTTGTAATAAAGTAAGAGATATATTTACACATTTCTGGCCTTAGTACCCTGATTAAAAATCTACACCTGAACCCCACTCTCACAGGGAAAGACTCCCTGAACTTACATTTTCAGCTGAAAAGTTCAAAAAAGCTCCCAGCTCTAAACAAGTATCACCAAATTTAAACCAAATAAAGCCATTCTAGAGTACAAACATTTTATGCGGGGTGTGTAAAGCATTTCTTCCACTCCCCTTGTTAGTCTCCAATAGCAAGGAGTACTGTTGGGCACCAWACGTGAAGAAAAATATAGACACCCTGGAGACAATCCAGAGAGGAGTAAAAAGAATGAACAACAGTCTAGAGGCAGCATGAGGGAGGGTGGAAGGAATTGGCATTGTTTAGTCTAGAGAAGGGAGGACTAAGAAAGGATGGGATATCAGCCCATAACCATGAACACTGTTTCTGCAAAAAAGAAAATATCAACCATAGCTGGATAGAGAAGTAATGAAAAGAACGCAGCAGGGGAGCTTCAATATTGTGGCTAAAGTAACTTTCCTTATAAATAGATTGGTTGAAGGCTTAAAAGTTTTCTGGCTGCCCTTAATTTTTAGTTTAAAAATTAAATACTGATGTCTGCAAAGATGTGAATCACAAATAAACTCTGTATATAAGCTGTAACTCCTAGGCCAATTCAGAAGCCTTAACAATAAACTCTCTAGGATGTCTGGAAGATTTTMTATTAAACATATGCCTGCAGTAAGTCATGCCCACTTAGGATGAYAGGATACTTGTTGCTGAATGCAACTGAGTTGAAGTTGAACGTAATTGGTGCTAAGTTTATAAGTAGCAGCACTCTATTTTCATCTGGGTTTTTATTTCATTTTTCAGGCCAGCAAGAAAATTTCCTGGGGTAGTAATGGTTCAAACCAAATTTTTCTTTGGATCTTTTTCTTTTTGTGGCCACTGAACAGAAACATTGATTTTGCTCATAGTCGTAGTAGTTAATTTTGTGTAAGATCTGGCCCTCTTTCTATTCTGAATCTATAATGTTTTCAGAATTGAAAAGTAGTTTTAGACTTTCAAACCAGTTGCTCTTAATCTTTTTGGAGGAACTTTGGGGAAACTCATTTTCCCTCTTTATGTTGATTTTCTTTAATTCTGAATATTTKGGAGCTGACTTTTCAGCCCTGTCTTCTTGTTCAATTCCTACTCCTTTCTAGGGATCTTAATAATAAATTCACTAAAGACTACCCACTTTAGCTATAAGCAAGTAATAAGTAATCCAGGACACTATGTCTGGATATGTGCATTGGAAATTCATAAAAATGAGAGGATATCTTAAGCTTGTATCATTCTGAACTGAAACTTGGAACTTTACACTTCCTGTGGGGACAGTATTTATATTACTCACATTTACTTTATTTGTGCTTCTAGAGACCTGCTAGCTCAGAAGGGACCATTCACCAGTGATTTGCAAATATATCTAGTCAGAAAAGAGGAACAATCTGGGCTCCCCTTCCCAGAGGGCTGCTAGAAATCATCAGATGTGGCAGGTAGAGGAAGCTACTCTATCACAATTGTATTTTACTTAGTGTGTTATATTGTGCCATACCTTCTTAACTCCTTAAGGATGGGAGTATTGTTGAGTACTTACCTGCTTCACAGAATACATGAACATACAACTGTTGTGAGAGTAAATTCTGAGTTGCAGTCATTTTAGCTTATATAGTTTTCAGTAACAGATCTTAAAGCAACAAAGGTCAACAGTGCTCTCCTTGTTTTTTAAAAAATAGAAACTCTTAAGATTTGGGCTGGCTGGGAGGATTAGCCACTGTTCTCTAAAGTAGCGAGAGAGTGAAAAATAGGACTTGGGTACTTTGAGTCACAGTTCTGCACTGTGACAGAATTCCTGAATTCACCTAAAGCACGCTGAAAATTTATATCAGCAATGAAAACTGATTATAAGACTGTTAGTGTGTGACCTTCTTCAGTGGGTCACAGATAGTCAGAAAGGAATGATATAAATATAAGCCCCAGATCT